ATCTCATTTCCCCGGCAGGATCAAACACTGCCTTGTACCCACAGCAGAGCTCCAAATGCCAGTGCCACAAAACACACACAAAATGTGTCTGACACCACACGAGCCTCCAGAACATCTGACAGCCATTCACACAATTAAGTCCATCATAGCAAATACCTTTCTTTCACAGATAAAGCAGGTAAGCAGATTGGGTACTCTCTATTAGGTTAATCAGAAATTGGCTTAAGCCAAGAAAGGGATTTAATTCAGAATTTGAAGCTGATGTTCTTTGCTTAATCTTCTTGGTTCCAGATATTAACACATCTAGGATATATTAGTATGTCAATATCTGGATGAGTTGTAATGAATTAAAGTTATGGATGTCTTTTTTGTTATGTGTTTAGACGGAGTTTTGGCTTTACCCCTTTGAGCTGCTGCCTGGCACATGTCAGCAGGCACACCACTGCCACTTCAGTGGAGAAAACAGTGAGAGAGTTACTCATGTATCAAATTACTTCTCCAGGGTAAGGGCTGTGTTTTCCTCAGGTCCACAGAAAGCAGTGCAAACTGTGAGCTGGGAAATGGTGACATCCAGTGCTCAGGTATCAGATAAGGAGCTCTCATCCCCACCACGCTCCTTTGTGCTTGTTCCAATGCACAGGCACCTCCAGCACCCCGTGTCACAGCAAAGGAGAGTGCAGGAGTCACCAGGCAGCAGGAGATCAAACCCCTCTGCTGCCATAAGAACAAACAATTCATCCAAAAGCGAGACTGTGCACAGAGATGATTTTATAATCAGTGCGTTAATAAACCCCAACAAGAACTAGCTCCCCATTTACCCATTCACAGGAAGTGCATGCAGTAGCTTGAATTGCTAAGAACATAAATTAAAGACTACCAGAAGTCACTGAAAAACAAACACAGGGAAGAAACCCACTGGTGCTGACACACAAGACACATTCTACACTCCCCAAGGCAGACACTATATTTATTTAAAGCTTACAAAGAGCTCCTCAAAGCTGAGGTAACATTTCAGACATGTTGGGGTATTTCCTGCTTTTCTCTAAATTCAGTTAGTATCCCAGTCAGGAAGGACTGAGAGTATAAGAGTTATTTGAATTGGGGGAGGAAATAAAAAACCCAAAGTGGTAACATACTCAAAATAACACTGAAACAATTTTTAAATTAGGCCAATTCAATCCAAGGAGAAAAGAAATGGTTCCATTTGGAAAGATAACCTAGGCAGTGAGAACTGCATTTCCCTGGGCATTCTAAGAGGAGCTTTTTGCTCAGACATCACTATCTCCAAATCCCAGTGTCTTTCTGGAAAGCAGGATTGAATTATGGGCCAACCAAGAGGCCTGATACCTGCCAAACTAGCTACATTTTCATGTCTGAAGGTTGACTAGCACCTGAGCTTAGGAACTGTCACCTTAGACAGCAGCTGCCAATCAGACCTGTAATACTTCAATCCAAACCCTGCTCTCCCTCAGTATTTATCCTCAGACAAGAGCAGCTCCCAGAGAGGAGCTCTGCTGCAGCTTAGTGCCACGGCACTCCAGATCACACAGGTGCTCAGAAATCCTTCCCAGCACACAGCTTGTTTCACACAAGCTGCAAGAGCGTTCAGAAATGCACTTTTACAGCCCCACTCCCACCAGTTTTTAAAAATTCAGCATTGCTGGAAACAGAACAGACCCATGCTTAGTTTTTGTAATTAACTGTTTGCAAGAGAGGTTATTTCTTCCTTTCCCCAGCACATACAAAAGAGGCTCGGACACACTCAAAAATCTGCATAAATATATTCCTTTCAATACAACAATTGTAGTAAGCTTAAATATTATTTTTTTTCTTGTAAAATTTAAGTCATCTTATTACTTATGATTTCTGTAAGTCCCAGTCACATTAAAAGTCAGATACTGCCTGAAAAAGCAGCCTGGAGAGGCTGCTGGAGCACACTGCCTCATGCTCAGCAGTTACTCAAGGATGGCAAGAGTCCCAATTAGCAGGGGCTGCAGCCACTCAGCCTCTCTGCTCCACGGCACCAAGGAGGAATAAAATGGGAATTTGGAACATAAACTGATGCACAATCATCCCTGCCCGTGGAAGCACTGCAGCAGAGACAGCACTGTTCCAAAGACAGCTGAGCTGTGCATGCAGCACCCTGGGAGTGCCATCATGTGCCCTGCGATGGACACAAAGAACCTGTAGCCAGAATGGCTCTAAACTGAAGTTTAAATATAGGTAATTGTTTTTAACCAATCTCTCACCCTAATGAATTCCTTAAAACCAAAAGTGTTACGTAAACATAAAAAAAGAGATTTCAAAAAATCTGATGTGGTCTGCCGTAGTTACCTTCTTAATTTTCAGAGAGATTTCCAACAGAAATGTGTGTTTGGGCATGGCAGTGGAATTTGTGTCATCGTGACCAAGCGGCTGCGGGCAGCGAGATGCTCCCGCGGCTCTGCAGTCCCGGTCCCCATGGAAACCAGACTCAGATATTGTCCTCCGCTCGATGGAGCACCAAGTCGGGAGCCTTTTGTGCCTGATGAGATTTCTTCCACAACCTTCCAGCAACAGACCCTACAGCTTCCTCCTGACTCTTTCCTAATTGAGATGCAAATTAATCTCTGTGGCTGATTACACTTCCCTTACAGCCCCTGACAAGTGCAGCTGTAGCCGGAGTTTGCAGACTTTCCAACAAGTGACTTCAGCTGTCACTGCTGGCAAGAGCTGCCCCGGCTACCCAGCACCACCAGGGCAGAACAGGGATGAGTCCTGCAGGTACTTCACACCCTGCCACTGCTTCAGCATGAGCACCACGGATGCAGCACCTCGTCCCCATGGAACCACTGAGACCAGATAAGTGTTTGATCCGTTTGTAACCACACCAGAGTCCAAATGTCTTCAGCTACTGCCCCTTAGCAGGGATGCTGCCTTTTAACATCACCCATGTGCCAAAGGGAAGCTGCAGACCCTCCTCAGCTCTGCCTCACTCCGGCCTGCAGCCCTCATCCCATCTACTGTTATGACTGTGTGTGCCAAACACACACTTGGCCAGGAACACTGCTTTCTGTTTCTCCCTCTCACTGACATTTTTTTAGTTATTTCCATCTCCAGTCTGATAATGGCACTTCCATTTAGTGTTTCCACTGCTGGGTCTGCTTGCCTCGTGTTGTGCTCACAGCAGCTGGCACAGCAAACACCAGACCTGAGTCACTCACCCTTTGGGAGCTGCATTGGACAGGCCCAAACATCACCTTTACACACCTACACACATTTCACATTCCAGCTGCAGTGTATCTCAGAGACTGCACTATCTAGGGAACGAATTACAGATAGCTTTCTCTCCTGCTCCAGTATTGCCCCGAAGGGATCTGCCCACCACATCCCCTTTGTGCCATTTCAGGAGTTTCTCAATCCAATTTCATTTATCAGGCAGACAAGTGGCAGTTGAGTCACTATGGACAGCACAGGTGCAAAAGCAGAAGCAAAAAAAGGCAGAAAAGAATGTGGAGACAGATGCTGCCTCAGACCTGTGCAGAGCAGTGCCCTGTGCAGCTCTGTCACCCCAGGGCTGAACAGGGACCCTTGGGGACACCCCTTGGACAGCAGGAGCACGGCCAGCTGGTGAGTGCTGCTCACTCACAAAATGCTCAATGCCAAAGCATGGGAGGACTCCAGCTGGGAGTGAGGGGCTGGGACAGCTCTGTTCTTATAACTGCTGCTACTTATGTTCATTTCACTACACTGTTACTTTAGTATTAAACACTGAGAACCAGATTAAGCTAAATTCTGCACAGCATAGTTTCAGGAATTTGTTAGATTTTCCTCAGGAAACAGAAGAAAACACAGCGAGCCTTGACTCACCTGTCAGGCATTGCCACAGTTTGCACAACCACCACCATTTGCTTTACAATGAGTAAACACTTAGTTATTAACACAAATCTATTTAACCACAATGATACTTTTAATTTCTGATGACTTTTGCAGAGTATACTGGATAAAATTTATTTAGTGTAATTAAAAAAAAAAACCCTAACGAGTACTTTGAGGATATTGCTTTACAATGAGTAAACATTTAGTTATTAACACAAATCCACAATGATACTTTTATTTTCTGATGACTTTTGCAGAGTATACTGGATAAAATTTATTTAGTGTAATTAAAAAAAAACCCTAATGAGTACTTTGAGGATATTCCATGTTTTAAAAACGTGCATCTTATAAACTAATTCCTCAATATTCTTTCAAAGATAAAACATTTCACAAACTCTTTCTCAAAGTCATGTGATTAGAAAAATACTCCAATCAAATGCTCCCCAGAGAAAGCAAAGTGCAGTGAGTGTTTGTCCTGAGGTAAGTGATGTGATTAGCAAAACAAGCTATGCAATCTATGATGGCATTATGAGAAGACCCCAGCATGGGTGCAAAGCAGTGCTAACACTGGGTTTGTGTAGCACCCAAGAACCACAGTCTGTGTGAGGACTCCTGTCCCAGGGAAGCACATCCTCCAGCCACCTTCCAGCCACTGATGGAAAACAGGTTCTGAAAATGCCCAAACACAGGCATGACTGGAAAGAAACTGGAATTTGGGACCTGAAACATCCGTATCTGAGGACAAATCCCATCTGTCTTATTAATGCAGTGAGTCCAAGTAAAGTTAATTGGATAGGGTAAGAGCATGGCTGAGCTCTGGCTAGCAGCCTGACACACATAGTCCACAACTCCTATCAGTGTGAAAACAAGCTGGGAGTTACCATTTCTCACAGATCAAAGCCCAAGCCCACCAGCAGCAAGAAGGAAGCTGCTGGTGAGACTCCAGTGCTGTTCCCATTCCATTCCGAAAACACCGGATGGCAGCTGGGTGTGAACCACTGAGAACATCCACCACGAAGAAAGCTCTGACCTTTGCCAATGAAACCAAACAGGAGGGATTTTCACCCAGCCTACCTCTCTGCAGGATGATGCTCCAAGTGAGAACCTACCAAGGGGAGCCTTGCCCCGTGGAGAAAGGATACAAGCTCTGGTAGAGCGGGATGAGGGACTTGACGGCTCTGCTGGCGTTGATGCACGTGGCACAGATCAGGCTCGGCAGCAGCTTCGCGGTCACGATGGCGCCGTCGAAGAGGGGACCGAAAAAGGGCACCTGGCTCCCCAAAACAGAAAAGCAGGCTTCAGAACCACTGCAGGAGACTGGCACAGCATTTTGCCACCAAAACAGTGTGCCCACATTGTTTTCTACAGAGACTCCCAGTGTGACATTCATCTCCCAAGCTGGTGAGTGTTTAAATCCCCCATGACTGCCCTCAGCACACTACACATGTCTCAGGACATTCTGCTGGCTAAGCACAAGCTTGGTACACACAGAAACTGAGGCCATCTATGAATTTACAATCAATATGCCTTTGGCAGTGAATATTAGGAGCTGTTTTCCATCTGGGATCCCAACAGGAGACCCTGATTCACTGGCTGACTCCAACATTGGCAGGAGGCTTTGCAAAGACATATTTACTTCAGATAATCCTCTACAAACTCCTTCCATGGACTTCATAGAAGAGAAAAAAACCTTGAGCTGGTCCAAGATAAGGAGGTGTGTGGAAGGCAGAGGAGATGGCAGAGCAGGGGCTCTCTCAAGGGCAGGACACAGGGTCAGGACAGGCACAAACAGGCCCAGCCCAGTGGGTCCAGGTGCCCAAATGCTGCTCCTTCGGGGCCACCTGCACAGGAAACCCCAGTGTGACATCCTCTGGTGACCTAAGGCTCTGCAGATCAAGACCACACTACGAGCAAGAGATGCTTTCTACAAATAAACCGTGTCCAGAACTGCAGACACAAAATAGACCTGAGCCTGCCAAACCCAGAAAATGTTGATGCTTAAATGCACAACTTCCAGTACTTGCAAGTACTCAAATTAATTTCCCTCTCAGAGACTCAAAATGAAAAAAACAACCCCCCAACTAAAGCTCTAGACAGAATCCAGCAACAATTATCAATATTTAAGCTACGGATTTTTTCCATCTGTACAGAGGCTTATCACATAAATAAATACCCTCTATTATTCTTCTCCAACTGCTTGTGGGTGACTGTGACAGTCATTCAATAAATGGACAAAGGGAATAATATAAATCCCCTGCATCTAGGGAATTCCTCTAATTAGAAGTGGCAATGAATTACAGAAGAAATTTTGGTTTAATGTAACATCTGGAAATGACAGCTGTCTCTGCACACACTTATTCTGTCATTCCTTTACTTAAAATAATTACCCACCCCCCAATAAAACAGAAAAGCATAAAATGTTTAAAATGTTAAAATCACCATAGTGGTTTCATCTTCTTTTTATTTTTTTTTTTAATTTACTGCTGGCATTACTATCCAGGCAGTTGGAAGGGAAGGGGACAGAGGAAAATCAATGCCACCAAAATGATAACATTATGGAGCACCCAGTTTTGCCTCTCTAGGCAGTAATATTTTTAAGTGAAATTTTTATGCCATGCACTGTCTTGAAGCATTGACAGCAAGAGAAAAGAATGCAAAAGTACAGATAAGGAGGTTAAGTACATACTAGCACTGAAGTGATACCACCACGCAAATACCAGATATGTAAAGTCAGATCAGCAGATGCTACTGGGGCAGGGAAATTCCCTGCTGGGCTTTTTGGACAAGTAGGTTTTGCTTACAGCACTTGCATTCACGGTTTCACACTCACCAGGAGCTGGGGAGCGGGGCACGCTTTCTCAGCAGTGCACTACAGAATTTACAGATGTCACCCAGGGACGGGGTGTGCGTATCCCAGCCACGGAGAGCAGCAGCAGAGCCCAGGGCTGCGGAGCCCGCCTCGATCCGAGCGCCGCGCACGCGGGGCTCGGAATTATTCATTCCCCAGCACACACAGTGGCCTCGCCAAGGGTCATTAAAGTCACTGGAGCTGCATCTCCTCAGCTTCCATCTGCACAGGGCCCTGCCCTGACAAGGGTTGTGGGGGAGGCCAGTGGAAGGTGCAGGGTGCGCTCCCCACTCGGCACCCAACATCCCGCCCGGGAAAGCAGGGCTCCGCTGGCCACCACAAACAAACAGCCTGCTTTGACAGGAATCAATTAAAAAAAAGAGAGGGAAAGATCCCCTTCTGCGAGCGCTCCAAATGTCACTGCAAGTTATCCGTGAAGCAAAAATTAATATTCAGCCCACTGCAAACACCTGCTTCATTCCAATTTCCAACAGCAAAATCATTATTTCTGTTGCCCGCAGTAAAAGTAGGCAAGGTTAAATAAACCTTCTGAGCACAAAGACTTCCCCTCTACAGCAAGCAGCACTAGTTAAAAGAGTGGGGAATGGGTAAATTATTGTACCAAATGGCTGAGAATTAATCTCTGATGACGAGCTGCAATCTAACGAGGCATCTGTGTCCCAGGGAACCCGCAGCATGTCCCTGGCGGTATGTGCAGTGCGGAGCTTGCCTGGCATGCTTTGTCCCCTCTCGCAGGCAGCTTTTCCTCTCATTGTTCCCAATATCCTCGTGCATCTGTGACGCGTGGAATGCATTCACACTAACAGACTTACTATTGTCTTCCCTCCGAAGCTTTGTCGGGCAAAGACTGCAGCACAGTTCCTGATAATTATATTGCTTAATTAATCAAGACAAAAAAATTTGCAAATCATTGCCGGGTTGCCAAGCAGGGAGATCAAAAATGAAAACAATACAAGCTGAAGCAATATAACAAAAGTAACAGCTATCTGATCAGAAATTCTTCTATAATGAAGCTATTAATGCTAAAGCGGTTAATGTTAACATTGCTCCAGGTGTCTCTACTTGGCTGCAAACAAAAAGGCTAACATTATGGATATAAAAGGCCAAATGTTGCCATGGATTCTGTAACCTGATAGAGAGGACAGCCTTTTCATTCGATTAGGGAATGCAATTTAAATGCCAGGGACTGAAGCCAAACAACAGACATTTCTCTCTGCAAGGCTCGTTCATTCACCCTGGGGTCAGTAGCTGGTGAACAAAAGGTCAGCCACACTTGCCCTGGAAATGTCTGGATTAATTTTATTACATTGTAATGGTTTGTACTTTAAATGTAGGGATAACACTAAATTTCCAGTTAGCTCTCATTCTGGCTGCCCGTCGGGTGGTTTTGACTAATATGTAAGATGACACAGCTTTTCTCCATCGCTCCAGAGAAGTCTCAAGCGTTTTCCTAACGCTAAATTCTCATTTCCCTGATGGAACATTAAAAAAAAGCTAAAAGCTAAAATGCGCAAAAACTAAACTGCACAGCTCAACACCATAAAAAAACACCCCAACAACCCAGTATTAGAAAATGTTCAAGTTTGAAATGTCTACTGACAAAACACTGGTTGTCAATATCCAACAACTCCATCGTGCACAACTCAAAAAATAGTGTTGACACCTGGTCAATATGGGATGTGATGAAGGCATTTACCACAGTTGGCTACTCCTTTGGACAAATATTGTCCCTCATATCAGGCAAAGGGTATTTATCACAATGACTACTTTCACAAAGTATATTTTACGCATATTTTTGCATCCATTATGTACCAGATGAGCATTTACTGCAGTGGCTTTTTCACACACATGCACAGATGTACATACACACTCCTCTGACATTTTACAAAAAAATGCTTTTTTTTTCCAAAAAACATCTCAACTGTGAACCTCCCATACTTTGTTTGATGACAGGATGTCCAGTGTCTGCATCATCCCACCCAGTCAGGTGACAATGACAGCGCCACAGACGTGTGAGGTTCTGCTTGGTGCCGCGTGTACAGCAGTGACCCAACACCACATAAGAACTCACATCATGGATGGTTTGCTTTCACTGCCTCAGAGGACAGTCACAGTGGTTTAAATACTGTTCTTTGCCCAGTAAGTCCTGTGGGTTGAGAATTCTGGAGTGTTTCATTCATGGCTATAAAATGAATGAGCAGCCACTCTGATCACTGTAAGTCCAGTTTTAAAGTCAGCTCACTGCTCAGCTTATCTTTCACCTGTTTGGGAAAAAACAGCCCCCAAACTCTAAAACCACTGAAAGCAACAGAGCTGCTGCCCACTGGCTGAGCACAGCAGAACCAGTGAGGCACCCAGGACGTACCTCGGGCTTCTTCATGATCTCAATGAAGAACATGTGGTTCTTCATGGGGTAGATGACGATGAGGACGTCCCCGAAGTCGGTGGGGATGATGCCCCTGCGGTAGTTGCGGGTGTGCTCGGACCACACGATGTGAACCTCGTCGTTCCCCAAGTGACGGAGCTGCAACAGCAAATTGGCTCTTTATTAATCCGAGTGATAACCACGCTGCACGAGGGGTCACGGCTCACAAATTGAATTACAATGCTCCATAGCAGGAATATTTCATTACAGAAAAGTTAAAATATTGTTTTTCTCCAGTTGCTCATGAAAGCATCGGCTCAATAATTTGCTTCATTTAGAACTCATTGTTGTCTGATGGCTTAATTAAGTCATTATCAAACTAGCCATTAGCATGATATGTAAATGTACATTACCTACAGTGATTTAAGATGGAAAACTGAATTACTGGAACAAAGCATTAACCAACGGAGCATTGTATTCCAGCTAAAATAAGGCAGCTGCCACAGAAATATGAAATGCCTTGACTCAGAATGTCAAGAAACTGCCTGTCATGAACCACTATAACTGAATTTATTATCCACAAACCTCTCCTCACTGACTGTGTCTGGAGGGGTCTCCTGCCTGAAACGTCAGCAAAATATCTGGGCAGTGTGAAGTACAAAAAAATGGGAAATACTGTGGGAGTTGCACCTTTTCATTTGGAGCAGAGCTGCATGAAATACGGATAAAATTCAAACATGACATACACAGAAAGCATCTGAGAGCCTCTGTGTGTGTGTGTGTTTGCTCTGCTGCTGGAGGAGCTGGAGGTGATCTAACAGATGGCAAAAACTATTTGGCAATCACGTACAAGCCTCACACAATGGTTTCAACTGTAAGCTTTAAAGTTAAAATGTAATCCACACACACAATGCCAGCTCCAAGCATAAAGAGACTTTAAGTCCCACTTAAAGCTCAAAAGACAACCCCCCCTCTCCAATTTGGTGCTACCCCCGGAACAATGTGCACAACAGACCGAACAAAGAAGCCAAAACGAAGCTCTGCTACTTCACTCTGTGTAGGGGGAGAGAAAAAAGGGAAAAGAAGGTGGTGATTTTCACTGGTAAATAACAACTAACCCCAACACGCTTTGGATCAGCCTACACTGTGCTCATGAGGCTTCCCTGTTCAGAGCCAGGCACTGCCTTTAGAAGGAAAAACTTTCACTCCTACGTACTGGTGGCAAACTGGACCCCTCAGTCACAAGAGAAACGTGGCAAAACCAACACACTGAAAAATTTTAAAAAGTTACAACTGCGAACTTGGCTTACAGTTCATGTTCCAGCAGAATGAAGTAAAGCTCAGTTCCCAGAAGGACTGAGATTCTCTAGTTTATTTTAAATTAAACAGAAGATACTAATTCTGTTTAATTTACACCCATGAAATAAAGGTAATTTTAGCTCTGTTTAAAGAAAACATAAACCATTTTTGTCTTGAAAAAACATGAGAACGTTAAAAATACTATTACTAGAGCTTCTTACATGTACAAAACAAGTAGAAATTGCTGTTCTTGTGGTCACCTTGATATCTGTGCAGAAGCTTAGTAAAAACAAAGCAACACAAGAAAACACATTGGGAATGTCACAAACTGACACATACCAAAGGCAGCAGGAATTCACATACAGGACAAAACCCTGATCTCCCTCTCTGACCAGGTGCAGCCAGGTCACCTCCAAAGTGAGCAGAAGCGAGATGTCAAGTTTAGTCAGATACACCCCTAAAATCCATCTGGGTGAGCAGACCTTGTGCACAGCAGGTCCCAGATGCTGAGGATGCCTGGCCAGGCTGTCCCACCCCAGGACGAGCCCAGCTGAGCTCAGGGAACCCCCGCCAGGGATTTGGAAGTGCCCACATTTGCCAGGCTGAGCCCAAGCCAGCTCTGGCACTGGCTTCCCTGCACAGAGAGCCTACAATGGTGGCACCCAGCAAACCCTCCTCTGCTGAAGGAAGCCCAAGAAACAAATGTGGACACGAAATTCCATAAGGCAGCTCCATTGCGCAGGTGCAGAGGGCAATTCACAAACCCAGCTCAGCTCCTCTGAAGAAAAGGCTCTGTACTGCTGTGCCTCCTATGGCTTCTGGGGTGAGAAATAACACATACTGCTATAAAAACAGTCATCAAAATATGTCCAAATACTGCCTGAGGGACCCTTTTTAAAATCCCAAGGAAGTGTTCTGATAACAATCAAACACTTTGTACTGATATTGCACCCTTCAGAACAAGATTCAGTGAAGAAGGGAACTTAGCTGAACCAACACTTGCTGTGCTCACGAGTCTGCCACAATCCCCAGTGTGCCAGCAACGTGTTTTAGAGCTTGAGTTACTGCCCCTGTTTTGAAGCCACACATCCTTAAGCACCACAGTTACAAGGTATAATGTTACAAAGAAAAAATTGGCATTAATCAAAAATATTTGTTACTGAGAGGTAACTCCATTGATAAAAAGCCGTTACAATAATCTCATCAGTGACAATTAGCCAGCTGCTATTTTCCTGTGTTGTTTATTCAAAACAGCAGCTGTGGGGCAAACTCAGTGCCCTGAAGGACTTCAGCAAGTTGTGCTGAAATGTCCAAAGCCCCACAGTCGATGCGTATGGAGCCAGAGCTCCAGGCTGTGCTCCCCCTGGAGCACAGTTTAGGGGTGAGGGGAATAAATAAAAATCATTAAATAATTTTTTTAAAAAATCCCAAAGCAGACAAGAAATCAGATTGGTTTTAAAAGCAAACCCCAGCAGCAGTCTGTGCACGCTGAGGGAAGGCAGCTCTGGCACAGCTCTGGCACTGGCAGCGCGTCCTCCTGGTGCACAGGAATTTTCGGCGGGCACAGGAATTGGCCCTGGTTTGGCTAAGGGGGTGCTGGGACACAGCCCCAGGTCTGTGTCAGCCCCGCTGTCCCTGCTGGGGCTGAGCTCTCCAGCCCGGGAGGGCAGCTCCAGCCCCAGCTCCAGGCTGGGCTGTGTGGGTGCCGGCCGGCAGGCAGCGGTCACGGTGCACACCTCCGGCATGACCTCCTTTCCCTTCTAATTGCATTACACAGCCAGCTGGCTCCAAGAGGAGTCGTCTGTTTGACTGAAGAATTCCTGCTTTTGGGGAGGCATGGCTGCTACTTTTGCTAAGTAACAGTGGGGCCTGACATCCCCATTGTCTGGCTGACTGTGTGCCCATCCTAAAATCTAAGTTTTATTTGTAAATTAAGCAAGAAACTTCCTGCCAGAGCAGGGCTGCCTGGAGACTGATAATGTGTGCCTTTCATTCCCTTTCACTCTCACTGTATCACTGCCAATTTGTTTTTCTGCTGCTCGCCAGCCCGAGGCCATAAAAGCCTTGTAAGACATAAGTGCAATTATAGTCCTGGAGTCAAATGAATTGGACAAATCCAATAGCACAGCTCTGTCCCCACTCTGCAAACCCCTACAGCAGTCAGATTAGCTGCTAAAAATCTAATCTAGCCCCAGCTAACAAATTTCTGCAGCAAAGGAGCAAGAGTTCAGTATGGGGTTGCAACCAGATTTCTGAATTGAAAAAGTTCTGCTCTGACAATGGAGAAGATGAAATAAATCACTGAGAAATTCGGCAGCACATCTTTAAACCGTTAAGCACAATTTGAGCAGAACAAGACAGGGACGGTAGGATGCCATTCCTGGGATTGATTTTCACTCTTGCCACAAGACAAGCAGATAAAGTTTGGAACCAATGATGCTGAACCCTACAGCAGCAAAAGAGATCAGCTGAATTTTGTTTACTCCACTAGGAAAGATTTCTGTCGGGGCCAAGACTTATTTGGAGAGGGGGTTTTCTTTCTTTCTTTTTTTTTTTTCTTTCTTCCCTCCTGAATTAGCAATATAATATCAGCATATACCTCAAATAAAAAAAAAAAATGCAGGCTGCAAATCACAGCTCTACTGCACAAAACAAGGGGCCAAGCTCATCCCCAGTGGAAATGCACTTATTCTGGGAAATTCATACCAAAACTTAATTTATCTTTGCGTTCAGTAAAAACAAAGAACCACAATAACATATTTCAGTAAAATTACTACATCTGCTGAATTCCCCAGCTCCCAGAATTTATGGCCTTGCTCTGGCTCCCCAGGGCAGCAGGTGGTCAGTCCTTCTGTTCAGCTGGGAGTGTGCTGACAGGGATGAAGCCTCTCTTGGTCTGAGGCAAAATAAGCAGAGGAGAAACCCCAGCAATCACAAAGATGTCAGTGATTAGGGAGACCTTAGATCCCAGAGGGAGGGCAAGAAAAAAGAAGCTGTGTCCCTCATTGCATCCTGATGAACTTTTCTCCTCCCAGCACCACTGCCCTGTATCACCAGGTACCCTTCAGCTGTAGGAGCAGGAACTGAATGAATGCCATGGGCTTCCATTTTCTCTCCCACACTCCCATAAAACAAAAGCATTGATGGCAAGAAGTAATAAATATGAAGTAAGAAATAATATTTTTAACCCGGACATTCTGCCCCAACAATGTGAGGTAAGAACCTGAGCCCAGAGAGTTGCACACCTTCCAGAAAGTGCAGTGCTTCTGAAATGCACCTTTTCTCCACTCACAGCTGCAGGTCTGTAAAATCTGTCAACAATCCATGCTGATCTGCACAGAATTGCATGTTTGCTCACAACAGAAGCTGTGACAAACTGAATTGAACTGTTGTGTGTGGAACCATGGATGAGTACACACTGAAAAGCCCTCTGGAAGTCATCTGGTCAGAGCCATTGCTTGCAGCTCCTCAGGTCCATGAGGCTGCTCAGAGATTTGTCCTGCACTGGAATTCCCAGTTTGATCCCTGCAGGGTTCCATTCCTAGAGCAGATCTCAGGGCTTCTGAAAAGGTCCCAGAGCAATTCCTTTGCAGTTATTTTCTGTAGACAGCATGTGCTGGAGCTGGCCTGGTTTCCTGGCAGTACAAAACTTGGAGACTGACAGCTACTAAATGCTTTTGGTTTCTGTTTCTCACAGAGAAGGAATTCTCTTAGAGCAAACACAGGGAAGACAAATAGAATGACGAGACCCTCAGTGTCTGTGATAACCCTTAAAATAGATTAAAATAAGGAGAATAAGTGGACTGTTTGCAGCTAAATCCCATTCTTCCCCTTGTGGTAGCTCTGCCACACTGTGCTCTCCTCTCCCAGGTGATGAATTACTCAACAGCCAGACCACATCTTGGGTCTGGTCTTTGCCAGGCTTCCACAAAACCCAGCACTTACAAGGGACGGTTAAGACTAAATAAATGACCACAGTTTATGATGGAAAACTAAGTCTGGAAAAGACATGGCAGCAGTTCTCAGACATGCATAAGTGTGCTGCACAATAATCTGCCCTTCATATCCATGTGAAATAGGATAAGAATAAATTGGCTTAAATTGAAACAAAGTAGGCACTACCAGAGATTTTTTCGTGGTACAGGAAGTGGAGCATAGGAATATGGAATATGTTGCCTAGGGCAATGGTAAATCATTCATCACTGCAGTTTTGGTCTAGCAGCTGGAGAAATACTGGTCAGGAACAATAAAAATACAAACAGTCCCACACTGGTATGGTCACAGAGACTCTACAGCCCTGTCCTACACACCACTACCCCACTGCTCCATCCTGAAGCACTCAGAGTACTTTTCTCCATAACCTTGCCTCCAGAAGGTAGTGAGTTACATACAGAAAGAGAACATGCCATTTTGCTGATTTTCCTTTTCTTTTTAATGACAGATATCACAATAAAAAAGACCAGATCTGACTTTAGTATGAAACACTGGGCAATTTTTCAGAACCAGTAATCAGAGATTCCACCTTTATCTTTCAAAGAAAAGCACACATCATTCTGAAACCAACTGGATGGCTGCTGCAGCATTACTGATGCATGCTAACAACCTCTGCAGGACAAGTTGCCCAACCTAATTAAAAAGGCAGAGATTTTGTATTCTCCAAAAATCTCTCAGTCTAAGCAGCAGCTGGCAAACACCATAACCTGGAATTGCTCCTCGCTAGGAAAGACAAACAATAAAGTACTGATACCAACAGAATTTTGGGCTGGGTTCTGGCTGTCTGAAGCAGAGGCTGCCTGCCAGACTTGTGCCTAACTGGCTACTGTCTTGAACTCTGACTGGCTGCTTGGGCTCCTGAGCCTTTTCCACACAAGATGGTTTGATGATGCTGTATTTGGTTGCTTTGTTCTACCAACCTATAGCAGTTTTGGCAGGCAGACAACATACAAATGAAATTATTGCTAATATTATTACTCACGGTGGCATTTGAGGCTACCATGGAAATGTTAATTGTGTTTCAGAACCCAGAATTTAGATGCCATTTAATTCAGCTAACCCAGCTGCAGAAGCACCACGTGGCAATGCAGGAACAGCCTGCCAGGGCCACTCAAAGGCTGCTTCCAGCTCACACTTTTATGGAAGCACTTGGTGACTGCAGTGCCGTGAAACACACTGGGAAACCTTTACCTTTTTGGTCAGCGAGTCGTCTGAGTCGGAGGGCATCCTTGTGGACACGTGGAAGATGATCTCCACGGTGGAGGTGGCGTAGTAGGGCGCGGTCTGCCCCGTGCTGCCGTTGCGCTGCAGGCCGCCCATGAACCCACCGTGCGTGGACAGGTCGACCTGAGGGAGCCAAAGGCACAAACAGCAGCCAGCTGAAAACACTGAGCATCATCAGGATTTGCTTCTCTATCAAGGTTAATGAAATCACCACCCCACGTTTCCGTAGCCATCCCAGAGAAAGTCTTCCCCTATAGCTCTGCGATTTTTCCATTAAATTTGTCTTTCCCGTGCCTGTATCTGACATTTACTAAAAGTAAATGTCTCTGAACTAGGTTCTGAGTCATTATCTATCTAGCTATTTCACCTTCCTCCAGCAAACAGCAGCAAGGAAACAACAGCATTCTCCCACAGACTGCTGGCTAAGGGCTCTGTGGGGCTTGGAGCTCCCACTGCCAGGAGCAGCACAGAAGGCAGAGAGAGAAAACAAGAAAAACTGCAGAGGAAACTGAAGATTTGTACAGAAAAAACACCCTTAGAATAAATTATTCCAGAAGTTCATTCAGGAGAAACCCTTCTCTGAAGTCAAGCCTGAGTCCAAAGGCTTGTCTGTTTTCCCAACAGCACCAGCCTGAGGATGCTGCATCTCGTTGTGGCACCTGGATCCTTAAATGTGACATGCAGCTACTCTGGATTTCCCAAACACCAAAATGTTCATGGCATTTAGATTATGACACACCATTCTGACAAAGCAAATTAAACCCACACACATAATAAAGAACTCCTGTGCTGAATGTGCTCTGACCATAGCAAGAGCTAAAAACAGCTAAGCATCAGTGCATACCAAATTTTTTTTTTTTTTGGTGAATAAAAAAAAGCATAGTGCCACCAGCAACAAGGTAGCTTGTCTAAATTATGGCTGTTACCTCCCAGCCCAGCCCAGCAACAAAATCTTCATAGGCCTGGCTGCCCCTGGCGTTGGCCAGGATGGAACACTTGTCCTCCTGTCCCTCAGCGATGTAGAACACGGCGATCTTGTGAGTCTCACGACTGCCACGGGATGGAAAAAGAAATCAAAATTAAACAAGCTTCAACTCAAAATTATTTTTCAGATCCCCCTGCACCCCAAACACATGACCAGGTGCTCACATTTAGCTCTGTGTGTCGATTTCTTTTATGCACACAAATACATCACTCACCTTCATATTTCACCCCATTTTTTTGCCACCAAAACCTCACTGCAGAGACACCCCAGTTGTGAGAGCAGAGTCAAGCCTGCTCCTCCTGTACATCAGCCACAGAACTGGTGGCCAAATTCCAATTACAGGGTTAATGACTCAGATCTGTGCAGCACTGCAGAGACATCGAGGTGGCACAGGTGTTAATGGCAGCATAATTTAACCTACAGAATTTTAATTACAGGGTGATGACATACAAGGCAGGAGAGGCATTATTGACTTCCAGACCATGGGCAAAGTTTTACAAGGCTGACAGGGACAGTTGGCTTATCTGAAAACATGCAAAGCACATTTGATGTGGAAATTGTTGGGACAGAAGAAACTCAGAACTCTGCAATGCTGCAGATGTTTTCCAAACAGCTCTATGTAAGTAATGGAAAAAAAAAAACAAAACATAACATGCAGAACTTCATTCTGGAACTTCCTGGCTGGGGAGTAGTTTTGGGTGGATCACCCCTCAAAGTACTGCTCCTGACACAAGGATCACTCTGTACAAAATACTGTTTTGCATCAGCTGTACCCAGGTCACAATCAATTTGATTCCCTCCCCTCTCAGCTAAAGCAAACTTGGAAAAAATCTCTTCTTTGCCACTGATTTGGAATTCTCTGTACACAGAGAATGTGCCAGCACAGGTGGCTTCTCCATTCAGGCTACAGAACTCTGGAGAAACAAACCGTCCAATTTTCATACCAATATTTGGATTCAACAGGAAGGAAGTTTTGGTTCTGGCGACTCATTCTTCCTTGGGAAACACGAACCTTATCAATGGTGTGTTCAGTACACATCACCTACCATTGGCGGGAATCCAGATTTTTCAGTTCTCTCAGCAACTTTGAATTTTTCTTCAGCAGATGAAAGCTTTTTCTAAAAATAAATAGGAAAGGTTTGAAGGCAAATGCAACACAGTGGAGATACAGTATTTTATCATCCAAACAGCTAAGAGAATTAACATGATATGATTTCTCAGAATGATTGTTATACACAATCTTTTGGTGAATATTTCAAATAATCACCGAAGTTCAAAACTCTGCTCTTACCCCCAGCTACATGATCCTCACTTTCTTAAGCATGTCCATATTCAGGGGTAAAAAGTGAGAAGAGCACCCAAAGCACGTTCTGGATCCCCTCTTCCTACCTTCTATCCCAGGAGTTCATCCCCAAGTCGTTCAGCAGCAGGCGACAGAAATAAAAGGAGGCTTGGGGCTGGGCAGGAGGCGGTGGCTCCTGGCGGGCCACGCTCATGCTGCAGTCCGAGCTGCACTTGAGGATGAACTCCCTTTCCTGGGCGCTCTGCCGCAGCAGGGCCTCGGTGATGGCCCGCTCCTGCTCGGGGCTCATCCCGCAGGGCGGCGGCGCCGGCTCGTTCAGCTTGCGCTGCGGGTGCAGGAGGCACTCGGGGCTGCTGCTCCCGATCCTCTCCAGCAGCTGGTCCAGGGCGTCCTCCCCCTCCTCCACCTGGGACACATCGTTCTGGGACAGGCCGTCCTGCTGGGGGTCGCTGGAGATGACGAAGGCAGCGGCCGTGCTGCGCTGCGGCACGCAGCCCTCCAGGGGCCCGTACAGCACCCGGCCATCCCAGGAGTACTTCCCTGAGATGTCCCGCACGATCACCCGCACGTCCGAGGGCGCTGCTGCTGGCTCAGTGCCCTTCTTCTCGGCAGGGATCTGGAGGTAGGAGATGAGAGTGCTGTCGTTGAACACGAAGAGCTGCAGGTTGGGGCTGCGGAACACTTCCGAGCACAGCTCGGAGGACTCCACGTAGGAGTTGTCGTGGTTCTCGCTCAGGAGGCTGTGCAGGATGGCCGGGCCCCCGCTGAGCGGGTAGTGGCTCAGGTGGTTCACCAGGTGAGTCATGACCATCCGAGCCGTGAGAGGGATCAGCTCCAAATTCCTCCTCCTCTTCTCTGAAACCATCAGGGAAAACACAACGTATCAGTACAATCAGCAAGAGGCAATGCAGAAAGAGCACCTGCAGATTTCTGCCACGTTGCAGCAGCTTGCCCCGTATTGTCACTGTTATAGACCCCTTTGCCAGGATTTTCTTTTGGGAATCTGAGAAGCCTCAGAGAAAAAGGAAAACAAATTCTTATCTCATTTGCTTGTGTTGTGCTCACAGGTGGAATGTGTTTGGAGATTGTTTATCCAACAGGTGGTTGTTTCATTGGTTTCATGTGAATTATTTTGACTTAATGACCAATCATGGTCAAGCTGTGTCAGGACTCTGGAAGGAGTCACAAGTTTTCATTATTATCTTTTAGCCTTCTGTAAGTATCCTTTCTGTATTATTTAGTATAGTTTAGTATAATATTCTTTAATATAATATAGTATCATAAAATAATGAATTAACCTTCTAAAAACATGGAGTCAGATTTATCATTCATTCCTGCCACGGGGGAGCCCCACAATATTATGTCACCTCCTCATCCTTCCTTTTTGAGGAAATATTTCCAACAGCTTTCCAAGAAATCCTACCTGTCCCACAGTTTTATTTTACTTCACCACATCCCCACAGCCATTGGAGCAGGAGGGTGGCACGGCAGAAAAGCCAAGGCAAACCAGAGATGTCACTGCAAAGCAATGCTCCTCCATCCCTGGCAGGTGGGAAAGTGAGGCGGGGAGAGATTTCCTGCATGCTCACAGGGTCCCCTCAGCACAACACATCCATCAGTTATTTCATAAAGTGACTGTGCTCTGAGCTACTGCTGTGCCTCCACTTCTCCCATGGGCATGTTACTCCTTTTATAGCCAGAAACCTCCTCATTTCTAGGTTTTTTTTTTCATGTTCAGTGTAAAACTATTTCTCTGTGGTTTACAGTGTTTCTCCTTCCCTTTACATCTTCTAGGCATAAATTTGTTCTAAGGAGCAGCGTTGGCAACAAACTCAAACATCCCATCACAGAGGCAACTGGAATTCACCCAGAGAGAGCCGTGCCCAATTCTGAAGGAACAGCTGCTACGTGCAGTAAGGAGAAGCACGTTTCCAGGGCAGAGATGGAGCCTGGAACTCCATTTCCCACTGCTGCACACACAGGCTGGCCCAGCCCACCCTCTGGGCACACCCTTACCTTCAGCCACGGTGAGCAGGTTGCCCAAATCGGTGGAGGAGGGGCACTGGGCTGGCTCAGAGGAGCTCCTGACGTTCCCCAGGGGCAAGAAGGGGTCGTAGTCAGAGGAGGAGAGGTCGGCCAGGCTCAGCACATAGTGGCTCTGCTGCGTGTAGGTGCTGGAGCCATTGATGCAGCAGTGCAGGATCTGCGGGGACACGGAGCCAGTGACAACCCGGGACAGTCCCCAACACACCCACTGAGCAGGACCCCCAGGTCTGACTCACTACACAACCCACCCAAATGGTGTCCAAATTCAGCATTTCTAAATTAACAGTCTCCATCTGCACTGATTATGTGCTTTTAACAGCTCGCTTCAGGGCTTGTTCTGCATTTTAACAGCCCTCTTCAAATAATCCAAATATTTCTGCAAAGATTATTTTCCCTGGCTCATTGTTTTAAGCATTTTACCTTTGTCTTCATCATCCCCTGTCTGTTCTACATCTCTAATCTTATCTGCTTAACATTTTGCATTTGTAACTTCTCACCTGGATGATGTGATTTTCCAGTGCTTGACAAACCTGCTTCTGTGTCTTCTGGGTGTGTGAATGGCATCTTTAAACAGCCAGGCAGAGTAAATCACCTTCCCTCCCCCTACTCACTCTGTAAATATAATCCAGCAAAGGAGCTCTAGATGCATGTTGATCCTCCACAGCACCAGCAGACACGGGCTCCAGCAGCATTTTCATGGGCAGTGCCATGCACCAGTCCAGCAAGCAAAGCAGCAGTGAAACTATGAACTGAACAAGAACACAGACCATGGTGTTTAGGCACACTCTATTAAATTCACCCAGCCTTTACGGTATAGATTGGAAACTTTAGAAATTGGAAATTCAGCTCTGGTTCGGAGCAACCTCATTTAAAACCCACCCCCAAACAGCACAAAGAATGGAGGCAGCTCTTTTCAGTGACACACCTTCTTATCCACTTCCAAGGAGGAGTATTCGGCGCCGGGCAGGAGAAACGCGATGGTGGCCACCAGGATCTGCAGCCAAACAAACCAAGTGTCAGAAAGGCACTCAGCTTCCTCCTCTGCAGAGACAGACCTTCACTTCACAGGGTGTGGAACAGGTTAGGTTCTCCTGGGAGCATCCAATTGCCCGTGCTAATCAATGAGAACATTTTACTGAGCACTTTGCACACAAGGCACTACAAACGAGGGACCTACACTGGCCCAGGGAGTGCAGCAAGTACCTCCCTAACAATATAAAAAAGGGAGGAGTTAACGAAATCACAGCAGCCCAAGGAAGGGGTTAAGACAACTTTGCATACAAGCATTTTAAACAATCTGACATACTTCTGTAATTTTCCGGCACAGAGAGGATTCGTACTCCTGAAGCTTCTGCCAGTAAGACACCAGCAGCTGAAGGACATCACAGGCTACCTGAGCCACCAGCTTGTTGGAAAACTGGAAGAGAAAAGGTGATTAGAAGCCAAATAAAAAATTCAGATACAATACACTGCATTTAGACTTTCTACATTTCATTATTTTGCACCTTTGCAAAGAATAAAAAACGTTAGTGTTGTGAGATCACACTGGCAGCATTAGGAACCAGCAGGTTTGACACTGTCTGTGTGATCTTTTATGTGAGTTTTCTGGGGAAGGAGTCTACAGGCACACAGGCTATTTCTGCACATATTCTGCATGCTTGCACAGGACACCACAGCAGCAGCCTGTGCCTCAGACTATCAGTGATTATTTGCAAAGTGGAAATCCTTTTTTCCCCAAAGCACGTTGGTCAGAGCCCGCCACAGCAATACCTTCAGTGTCACACCTATGACATTGATGGCTTTCTTCACGTGGGGGTGGCTGGTGCACTGCGTGAGCTCCTCACAGATCCACACGCCAAGGCCACAGATGGCTATGCATCTTTGAGAAAGGGAAAAGGGAGCTGGTAAGGAGATATAGAGCAATATTTAGGGCGAAAAAAAGGGAAAAAAATGCACAAAGATGAGATTTTCTTTCCCCTCCAGCACGACAGGCCAGCACCTTCATGGTACAGAGTAAGGCTCAACTCCACAGGAACCAAACCACAAGGCAGCAGCAGAAGATAAGCAGCAAGAAAGACTTTTCCAAGCCATAAATGGTTGGATTTGATAATGTTAAAGGTCTTTTCCAACCTAACCAATTCTATGATATTTTCCCATTTCTTTTACTCGGTATTTTACCTTGCAGCTTCACTTGGCTCCTCTGCGGCATTCTTCAATAAAATATTTATGAGGCAATACTAAAATAACAAAATAAATTAGAATAAGCATCTTTTTGATACATCTACTTTAAAGTTGTTTAATTTTGACATAGTTACAGGTGAAGTCACTTTAATTCCCTGTCTGTTGTTAAGGCATCTTTACCTCATGCCAGTTGTATTTTGTCAAGGCAGAAACACTGATTACAAGTCAAACATACAGGCCCTTGAGGACAAATCAAATCAGCTTACAACTAATGTATAGGCAGCAAGAGGAAATCAATTCATTTACAGTGTCAAGGGACAGTTACAAACAAGTGGTGGTCACTCCATACAAACTGCAGTGTTTAGGTTCTAACCAAAACATGTTATGAAAAATTCAGTGTATTATTTAGTACAGAAAAGACAAAAACTGTCTTAATTTTAGAAGCAAGACATCTCCAGAGACTCTTCAAGGCCCGATGAAGAAGCAAGAACAGGAGCCAAGCATGTTAAGGGATTTCTGTATTCCCTTTGGTTCTGCCTTCTCAGGCTACATGAGGAACTCAGATTCTTCCCCAGCCATCCCTAATTTTGAGCAGTGGATCACAGTGCCTCACATTTATCAAAAGCAACAGGGGCTTGTGTGAGGGCAACCCCTTGGGCAGGAATGAAGTCACTGCATAGGGAAACCAGGTTAGGCTACCTAAGGATTTACAATAAATGTGGCTTTACCTTCAAATCTGAAGTTCCTGTGATGCTGTCACCAGCTTCTGAGATGGGTCCCCACTGTGGGATTCCTTGGTAGGTGTTTGGAAAGCACACAAGGGCACCAAGGATGGTGTGAGCCTCAGAGCGGGGAGCCTGGCATGGGCAATCAGGCAGAAACAGTCACTAAAAAAATATTCACTAAAATAGTCACTGAAAACCCTTCACACGTGGAGATGCCTCCAGCTCTGAGGCCAGTGTGCACTGCCTGCTGGATTCACAATGCAGCACTCAGCTGTGCCAGGGAACACAGCCCAGGAGCTTTTCCCCTGCAACTCCAGCAAGGGCTGGGTGTGAGCAGTACCTAACACACACCTTCCTGCCCCTGCTTTCCCTGCTGTGCTGCTCTGTTCTCCTGGTGAGACCGAGCTGACCTTCCACTGGCACCTGGCCCCGCTCCTGAGCACATCCTACACCTCTAATACTTCCCCTCATTACCCAACCTGACAATCAGCCATTTGATGCTGACAGGAAGTACAGAACCCCCTGAAGAACAGCTGAGTGAGGAGGTGAAGCACGAATGCAGCACTGCTATGAGGTGATCCTGTGGCACAGAGAGGAGTGGGTGCAGAACCCACTCACACTCACTGCACAGGCAATACCAATGTGCAGAGAGATCCCTGCTCCAACAGAGCCATCAAAAGCACCACAGCACGAGCTATAAACACATTAACTACTGCGTAACGTTGAAAATGCAATGCACACCCAGTTTTATGCAAGCAGGAAAAATGGAAGAGGTTTTGTTTCATGGCTTTTGCCTGGAAAACTGAGCATCCATTTCCTATTAGCATTTAAGCTTTGGATCAACAGTGAGGCTGATCAAGTTCTTTGAGGGCTGACAGAAGAAGCGTGGCTGGATGACCATTCCAGCTCTGCTGAAACAGGAGAGGGCTGTGGCCCTGCACAGGGCCACCTGCTCAGCCACACAAATGTCAGGAGCAGCAGCAAAAGCCCTGAGCCAGAACAGACCGAAAGGGCTCCCATGAGCTGGTGCTTCACATGCAACAGAGCTTTCCTGTCTCTCCCAGGACTGCCAGACCTTTACCTTTATTTTGGCAACCCCTCATTGACTTGCTATTTTCCTTATCCTTCGATAATTTAATAGTTTAGAGTCACATTTCTGTTAGTGCTGACATTTAGCCTGAGATGCTGTGTCACCCAGAGAGCTCCCCGCTCTCTCTCGCTGTTTGCTCACTGCAGTGGCACTCATGGGGCATTACAGGCGTGTGGCAGCTGGGACACGCTTTCCTCATGCCTCAGCCTTTGGATCAAACACCTCTGCAGCACCAGTGTGTTGAATTCTCCCAGATTTCCCACCCCAGACGACCCAGTATCCACCCCGAGGGCCCAGTCAGCCACGCTCACCTCCGGCGTGTCCGTGCTCAGCACGCGTGCCGCCGCTCCAAGGAAGTCCCCGATCAGCATTGTGAAGCCAGGCAGCCCCAGGAAGAAGAACCACGGCAGGCAGTGCTTTATGACGGTGTTCAGGATGTCCTGCAAGAGAAGGCACCTGTGAGAAAAGCCAGGAAGCCCGAAAGCAAAAGGGAGAGTGTCAGAAGATTTAATTTTGAGGTCTGAGAGGATTTAACTTTGAGGTTCCCCAGTCCCACACTGAGGTGGAAATTCCCAGAGCACTGTGTGCAAACTGACCTCCACACAATCACCACCTTCCACTTCAGGGGTGTGGAGTAGCCAAAGTCCATTTGGTATTCTGGAAACATGTTTCCAAAACCCCCTAAATTCCTGTTCAAAGCCCACATTGCCATTCATGTCTTTCTGTGCCTAAACACAACCATTCTGCTAAACAAGACTTCAGATTCAACATCCAAACATTTAATGGACTTAAGATGAAGCACTACAGCAGTCCAGAGGAGTGAGTTCCTCAAATCTCTCAGAATTCCATGCCACAAGAACACAAGCTGTCCCCCCAGGCCTGCTCCCTGCTTCAGGCGCTCTGAAGGAACAGAGCAGCAGCCCTAGTTTTGCTCACCATCATCCTGTGGTACAGAACATATTCCAGAAAAGCCTTTTATCTCTAATCCTTCCACATTTTAAGCCTTCACAGTCTCTCCAAACCAGAGCAAAGTTCCTATATTTGAGTTAAGACTTCTTCCCTGCAAGCTTTCAGCCGGTTTAAAATTAGGCATAAAATCTATACAATCCTTTACTTGTGACACTGCATTTGCTGAAAAGTTACATCAAGCTATTTCTACACTGAGTAGATAATTATTTTCCATTCAATAAAATTTTGAAAAGTTGCAAAGGAAAACCCTTTTCTATGTCCATCCTTACTGGTTTCATGATGTGTCAAAGACAGACTGAGCTAGAGACCCCCGTAATCTGTCCACATGCTCAATCTCTACAGCAGAAGCTAAAGCTGACAAACCCAATTTTCTCTTCACAAAGAGATTCTTGAACATCACCACTATTTTCTCTAAGCCCTCTAAACACCTGCACAGCCCCTACCTAGTGCTCCACTAAGTGTTTGCAACACCAGTATCCTATGAAAAAACTGCTATATATTCAAATAAACAGTATTGGTTTTTAGCATAGTAGCAGATAATGCTTTCACTTTCCTGAATAAGATAAAATGCCACTCAAGTTAATGTTTAAACTTGTTTTAATCACTTCCTTTGATACATTTTAAGTCAATATGGGTCAATGCAAACATTGAGAAGCAGAGCAGATGGATGCAGCCGCTCATAAAGCGGGTGGTAAGCTCTCGGTCGGCGCAGAACAAAGGACATACCTTGTTATAATTAAGGGCTGATTAACGCTCCGTGCTGGTCCAGCACAGCACACCTGTACAGCAGGGCCAGGTAAGGCTGGGCTGGCCCTGAGCAGGGCAGCAGATGGGAGCAGGCTGCTGCTGACATGTGCCACAATAAATGAGCCCGGGCTAACCTGGTGGCACAGGGAGCTGCTCCAAACAACTGCATTAACTCCTGTCCTCACCCCAGAGCTCCCATCTGTCACACACCAGGGCACGGATCCCTGCACAGAACACTTCCCAGAGGGGGGCAAGGAGAACCACAAAACATGACTGTCATACATGGTCCAAAAGGCTGCAGGGATTGACTCTCCTGTTACGAGATGTAGTGCTACTAAAAATAAATCATTTTCCATAGCGAGAAACCTTTCAAAAATTCCCTTTGAAAATCTCTTGAAGGAGTCCTCAGCTTCCCTTCAAACTCCCAGCGTGGGCTGCTGGCTGCAGTGACACACACCCAGGAACCATGTCCCCAGGCACTGAGCACATCACCCTGGGCATTTCGGGTCACTGCACCTCAGCTGGGGCTGGCCAGGCTGTCCTGGGTCAGCACCAGCCCAGGACAGCGCTCACAGGGAGCCGGGTTTGTCCCCTTTCCCAGTCAGCAGAGCCCAGCTCACAACAGCACAGGATTTGGGGCAGCAATCCGGGGGCTCAGGGAGCTTATCAGCACAGAGAGGCTGGCGAGAGGGCGAGGGAGCCAGGACATCTGTGCTATCAGTGATAGGGCAAAATCAGGTAATTCAAACAGAGCCGGGCTTCCTTCCCTCCCTGCAAACGTAAACTCCGGGTAGCAGCTCCCAGCCTGGTCAATGAATCACTTTAATTGAATGCTATGTACACAGCAACTGGAAAACACAAGCCATAAGAAAAACATATGGTGATGGCCGTGGAAATTGGTTTACTCATTCTGCACAGTGTTGTTGCTTTACTTCTTTCATAATTGACCTTTAGAACGATAAATGTGTAAAATAATTTTGGTTTATTATGGCTCCAAACCTTTCGGCAATTACACAAAATGAAAATTTAAAAGGAAGTATTCATTCTGGAAGCATTTCCATTGTTTACATAATTGCACAGCTATAATTTAGTGTTCATGTTGTTAAAGAAAAGTGAAAAAAAGGACCATTATGGACTATTTCAATTCAGAATGATGCTCTGTGGTGTTAAAGCTGGGGAAGAGGGAAGAGGAGGGGGCAATTGCATGCATGTCCTTCTCAAATGCATTAACCCTATAAAGGGCATCATATTTCAGTGCAGGTTAATCTAGTAATTCAAATTATAAGGTTGTAAACATCCACTGAGTAAGCGAAATAAACTTATGCAAGTTCACTGAAAGGTCAATTGCAAAAATATTCTTCACCTAATTTTTGTTCAAGATTTTGCAGATTACAGGTGTAACCAAATAGCCTGCCAGCTGCCTTCCTCATGTTTCCAATTGTCCCTCAACAGGAACAACATGGATTTTTCACTGAAAGTTCACCCTGTTCCTCACCGACAGACACCTCACTGGCACCTGAGATCTATAGCATGGGAAAGATTATTAATTTACAGAAGGCTTAAGACTTCCCTTTTCTACTTTAAAGGAACAAATGCTTCCATTTATTTATGCCAAGTTTTCCTACTTACCATGAAGTTTTAAGTAAGAGTTAACTTGTCAAAAATTAAGTTCCAACACAAATTTATTAAGTATTTTGACAACCTCAGGAGATCCAGGATTAATTTATCAGAAAGCTGCATTTCAAGGTGCCAGGTAAAACCTAACTCCAAAGCAGTCACATTTTATAGCCCAAGTCCCTCGAGGCTGGAACACAACAGAGGGAGTTTTTTAATTTCTCCCATTTTGGAGCATGTCTGATACTTTCACAAGTGGGGAGAGCAATAGCATAAAGAACTGAATAAATATTTTGGTCTGTGCACACACAGAGCACGCAGTGGATACAGGTACAAGGGCACTGCCTGGAAGGTGGAGGTGGCTTTGTGTCCCCACAAACATCCCTCCCAAGAGCCCGTGGCAGCACTGCTCCGAGCTCTGACAGACAGAACACAGACCCCAGGAGCAGAATTTGGGTGGGATGGATGCAACTGAGGAAGGGCAAATGAATTACAGCAAAATAAACAGGAAAGAACAAAACTACCATAATCACTCCCGACTGCACAGCTCCTGCAGTTGGCAGGACCTGGCTCCCCCTTGCTTCCAGTCAATCTTGCAGCTCTTTTATCCAGCAATTCCCACTTAGCCTGGTCTGGGCGAGCAGAGGGGGATGTGAGAGTTCCTATGAGACCCTGGCATTTGGACTTTTGTTTGTCCCTACTGGAAACATGCTGTCTGTTAACACTTTTTCAAAGCACTCAAAGCACATAATGGGAGCACACAGGCAAATTTTCCACAGGAAATGAGATAAGGGGTGGATTAAAAGAGGGAGAAAATCATGGCAGCCATTGGAAAGAAGCCTCGAGAAGCTAAAATAGGGGCATCTAAGCCTTAATAGACTACATTAAGGTTATTTCCTTTTAAATGGCAGTTTAAAGAATCTAAACAGCACAATGGTTTCTGTACAACCAAGGGCCCTGCAACACCATCAGGCAGAAACCCAGGCAAGAAGCACCCGTTCCACAGGGGACAAAGGCAAAGCCACTCACTTACTGCACCTTTACACAGCTGCTGCTGCCTGCTGATGCCAACTGGGCAGATGCAGGCACTCAGTTTGTGGTGACTGGGAGCGGGGCTGCAGCCCAGCCCCATCCCCAGTGGGTACAGCTGGGAAAAGAGGTGAACAGTACTGAAGGCAATGAGCCATGGCCTGCCCAGGCACACTGACCAACCACCAAGGTACACAGGTGTAATGCATGTAAGATGAAGGGTAGGAAAGGTTCTAAAAGTGCTGATTCTGGAAGTCCTCTTTGGTCTCGTGCAATAATTATAGTTTGTTTGCCTTAGAGTAATCATAAATAATGCCTCTTATTCTACTGAAGCTGATAAAACTAAAGACACTTTAAGAGAAGCCTTATAAGATTTAAGAAATTATTCACAGAATTCACAGAATCACCAGGTTGGAAGAGACCCTAAAGATCCTGGAGTCCACCCCATGCACCAACACTCCAACTAAACCATGGCACCCAGTGCCACATCCAGTCTTTTTTAAAACACACGCAGGGATGGTGACTCCACCACCTCCTCCAGAAGACCATTCCAGAACTTTATCACACTTTCTGTAAAAAACCTTTTCCTAATATCCAACCTGTATTTCCCTTGATGCAGCTTGAGACTGTCCTCTCATTCTGTCAGTGCTGCCTGGAGAAAGGGACCAACCCCACCTGAGCACAGCCACCTTTCAGGGAGCTGTAAAGTGATAAGGTCACCCCTGAGTCTCCTTTCCTCCATGCTGAACACCCCCAGCTCCCTATGCCTAGTTGCAGCTATTACAGTGTCAAAACTAAACAACTGGGAATATTTTTCTTTTTCACAAAGCTAAGGAATAGAGTGCTAGATCTTGCAGATAATGATCTCATTGAGGAAGGTGTAATAGGTCACTTGTGTCTTCTTCAAATCTCTAAGCGTGACCTATATTGCAAATTAATAAAGATGTGCTAAGACAGAGTGGAGCGTGGCACAATAGGGCTACTTGGAAAAGGTTACGCCAAGGCACTGTATGTATTCAGCAATTTTCCTTGCAAGCCTGCTCTATTTTACAATCTAATCTATTCTCCACTAAGACATGCAGAGATAAACACTGCAGATGCCTTTGTGTGCAGAAAGGAAGGAGAGGTAATTAAAAGTCTGCACGATGTGAAGTCTCTAGGTACCAACACTGTGTAATGTAGTGGAAGAACCTGGGGCAGGGCAGTATCTGGTATTGGCCTCCACAACAGATAAGGACAAGCACAAAAGGACAAACTCTGAATGGTGAAAAAGATGTACTGCTTTTGCAGCTTTAGGTGTACCACATATTATCAAGACTAATAATGGACCTAGTCATGTTGCTCAGCATATGTTACTAAGTATTTCACATTCTGCAACTGGTCTAGATGTTGTAAGATGTTTTCATTCCTCAATGAATGGAATTTTCAAAGCCTTTCTTTGAAAACAAAAAAGGGGGAATGGTGAGTGAAACCCCACAGTCAAGAGTTTGGAAAGCTGTGTTTACATTGAATCATCTCATTATTTCTCCCTCTGCAAAATGCCTGCTCATTACATACAACCTGTGCTGGATAATGCCCCCTGAAGCAACAAACCTGGATGTGGCTCACCTGACTCCTTGACATAAGCCAAGACATGTGGGTGATGGGAACATATAGATTCTATCTTATTCTTGCATGTTACTTTATGAAGTGTATAGTTATTGATGGAATTATATGGCTGATAATGAAGTTTTATAGTTACTGATATTGTTAAAATTCTCTAGCTGTTGATAGATTTATATAGCTGTTGATTTTGGTAATATCCTAATATGTAGCCTTTGACTTATTCTTGTATGATGCTATTGATATTGTCAATATTCTATAAATATAGGTAATAAGGATTTTGATTGTCAATATTCCATAAGTGTCGGTATAAGGATTTTGAGGATATGCAGTGCAGGTTTGGGGAATGAATCAAGGTCAGTACACAGATGCATTCCAGAGCTAATGGAACCTACATAAAAAGACCATGTTTGCTATTTCTTCTGCAAGGGCCCTGCAGGAGGATGGCAGACATGCCTTTATTTAAAAGAAAAGAAAGGAGGAATTGCAGGCACAGAGTTTGTGGTGATTGGGAGTGGGGCTGTGGCTGTGCAAAGAGGTGAGCAGCACTGACAGCAATGAGCCATGGAGTGCCCAGGGGCACTGACCAAAGGGAACAGAGGGCACACAGGTGCAATGCATGAACATGAGGGGTATAAAAGGTTTTACTGAAGAACAAGAAAGTGCTGATGCTTGAAGCCTTCTTTGGTGTCAGTTCTACCTCCACTGTCAGGCAGAAAGATACAAAAGCCACAAATGCTGTTTTTTTTAATGTCAGACCAATGTTAACACAAGCAGGTAATTAATGACTTCTCTGGCAGCAGCTCTGCTGAGAAATGCTTCCTATTACAAATTAACCATTTTCCACACAGAGAGCTCCAGTGGGTGTTTCTACAGAAGCTCAGAGCTGATGCAGCTTCCTTTCCCTCATCACCTATAGTGCCTTTGGAACAAAGAGAGAGGCTTTGGGACAACGGGCACTGGAACCTCAGCACCTCCACTGACAGAGCTTCTCATCCACAGCATCCTTGCACTGCTAAAAGGAACTGACCTAAAACAAAGCTGCTGAGTGCCCTGGCTGCAGCCAGGCTGTGCTCCACAGTCAGGCCTGCTGCTTGTGCTGACATTTAATCACCCAGGACATCTGCCAGCTTGGCGGGACTGTGGCGATTTTCCTCTCATTCCATATTTAAAGTTTGTTCTGCTCTTCATACCATTGAACTGAAAAAGCCACCAGCAGAGTCTCCTCCCTCGGCCATCCATTGTCCTTTCCACAGAAAACCTCTGCAGTCGGTACCTTTGATTATGTTCTCAAAAAACATAAATGCCCTTACTTGCCAGAGGTTCTCTGGCAAGTAAGCATGACTATACTTAAATTTATTTGTTAAAATCACTCCCAAAGTCAGGAGTACAAGTAACCCCCTTGCTCACTTTGCAGGTAACCTCTGAGTGCCAGGTGACACCTCAGTGTTGGTGACAGGTGGCACAGGCACAGTAACTGATGCTCTCCCTGGTAACAGGATGAGACTGGCTAAAAAAATAACACTGAGCAACAGAAGGTTGAAACCTGAAAAAGGATTGAAAACCTGCCTCTTTTTACAGTGTCCCTACAAGGTAAACACCTCACCTGCACTTCCTTCTCCTCTCAAACTATGAGCAGAAATTTAGACAGTAATAAGAAATGGCATCACAAAAGTCCACAGAATTCTCAGGAAACAACCACCAGCAACCTCATATTTAAGTGCCAGAAAGACTCAAGCTGAAGAATCCCAATTATGCCAACAGTTGATTTTCTGAGAAGCGTTGGTAGCTTTTTGGAATTGTGTTTTGGTCCTTTTGTTATTCAGTAAAAAGGAGGAAGCTGTGGAGCAAGGAGACGCTTATCAACTTTTTCAGGTGAATGAAGCAAAAAGTGCTGTTACAGTAAGCAGCCAGCAACAGTAATAAAACAGCAATAATAAAATACATTTCTTTTCTTAGTTCAGGTATTTGTAAAACCTGTCCATTGCAGTGTCAAATTTTGATTAACAAAGCTGTATTTATTACCCAAACCAAAAGACACACCCGGTTGCAGCTGCTCCAACAGGAGTTTTCTGACCATCAGGCTCACCTGGCAGCAGAAGGCAGCTATGCTCACCCAAACTGCAGCAGGCTATCTCACAGCATCCCTACCAACCACTCCCCAGGAACCTTTCCTGATTTTCAACACCCTAACCATAAGTAAAGTACCTTCCCTAACCCCCAGTTTGGTAGCGAACATCCCAGTTCCCTTTCCTTTACCCTGGAGACCAGGGAGGGAAGGCTGTGAGCCTAAATGAATGTCATTCATAAAAAAACAGGAAAAAAGCCCAGACTAGGCCAGCAGTGCCACAGGCTGGAGCAGCTCAGGAGGGAGGCACCCCACAGATGGTCACTCGGCCCTTGACCCTGGGCCCCTCCTGTGCCCCCTCCCTGCAGCCGCCGGTGCCGGGCTTCTCCCACCTGGAGAGGTGATGCAATTCTTGCAGAGAGTTGTTCACTTCTCCAGGGATGTTTGTTGTTAGACACTTCCACATGGACAAATTAGCTGCAGCTCATTACCCCGCTGTCTCCTCTGCTCAGCTAATTGCTACATCCCGGGCTCGGAGTGCCACGGGAGCCTCCTATAAAACACACCCTGACACTGCTCTTTTATGCATCCCCCAAGACCAGGCTGCAAAGCTGGGCTGCACTTGCTGGGAATAACTCTGTACTCATTTATAGCATACTCAAAATCGGATTATTTTGTTTTTCGAGCAGCACCAAAAGCTACACAACACAGCAGCAATTTCCTATTTTCACATTCTTAAGTGAGTGAGGAGTGAAAAGAGAAATACAGTTCAAAAAAACATTTGTCACACAAACCAAAATATTGAAAACCATTCAGGTCGAAGAGGCTCCTGACTGTAATACTTTTAATTATGTAACCACCTAAAAAGCTCTTCTGAAGTAGCCTGGAGCTGGGCTGTCTTCTGATTGCCTGGAGCTGGGTTGTCTTTCTGCTGCTTTCCCACACAAATGCTAGAAGTTGCACTAGTGATCCATACAGAAGAAAAACTCCTCCATGAGACACTTCCCACCCTCCCTTCTGTGAACATTCCTTACAAGGGAGAAATTTATGCCTGTGCTTAGCAGACAAACCCACTCTGTGTTAAAAAGGCCACCCCAAGTTTATTTTATTTCTGAAATCCTGGAAAGCATGCTAGGATCCCTGTTCCAGGAATCCTGTTCCCTGTGATTCCACACCCTCTCTGATAAAAAGGCTTCTACTTTCTGGGCACCCAGCAACCATCTTGGAGCCAATCGAGCTGGAAATATAGGAGCAGGACTAAGGATCAACACCTTGCTCCAAGGCACTGCCAGTTAACACCTCATCCAGTTTCACAGCTAAGGAAAGCAGGCGGGAAAGACAAACACACAGCAGCCAACCTGTGGTCAAGTGTGCCACCAAGAGGCAAATGCAGCCACTAGAGTGGGGAGCAAGAACAAAGAGCAGCAGCCTGCAAGATATCCAGGGAAACCATGGAGGGATTGCAGTGTGGGGCTGCAAAACATCCAGGGAAACCATGGAGGGTTGGGCAGCTGCAGCAGGACTTCTAGGATTTTCCATGAGAAAACCCCTGTCTCTCTATTCTTATCTATATAAAAGGAGTGTTTTCCAAATGCTCTAACTTTTCAGAAGGGAAACCAATGGGCAAGAATCTGGCAACAATTTCTTCTTTCCCTCTGTCATCTCAGAAACAATCAACCTTGTTTGGTTTCCTAAAGGCACAATCAGTAACTCCCAGAATTTCCTGAGCGGTCCCTGTGCCCTTTGTTGCCAATGCCAGCAGAGCTGCAATCCTTGCTCTCATTGCTACAGCTATAAAAACATGCAAGTGCTCTTAGATAGTCTTTATTTTGTCCAAAGAATATTTCTTAATGAGCATTGAGCTGTTTCTGTGAGACAACCATCATTTAACAGCCTAAGTCTGTTCCTCACCTCACACCGAACGCTTTATTCCTGAGGCCACCCCAGGACAGGGAGACCCAGAAAAACTGCCATGCCCACAGCAGCAGCAGGTTTTGGCAGCATCCCCTGCTGCCCTGGCACGGGGCAGCAGTGGCACAGGAAGCACAGCCCATACCTGGTCCTGGCTGGTCAGCCCCAGGCGCATGACAAAGTAGAAGTGCACCAGGAAGTCGGAGTTGGGCAGCAGGTCCTGGCGCCGGCTCATCATGGCGCAGAGCAGCCGGAATGCCTGCAGCTTCCCCTCCTTGTACTCGCTGGGGAGCATGGCTGCCTGCAACAACAACAAACCCTGCATCACTCCTTGCCTTCCCCACCAGCCAGTGCGTGCCCAGCAGCTCTCCCACCAAGCACCTCACATTCAGCTCCTAAGAGCCTTTGGAGGGCACGTGGTGTCTTGGCCAGCAGTGATGGCAGAAGTTAAAAATAAGGCAACTAAATGAATACCATTCACCTCAGATATAGAAAAAAATACTCCTGTGTGAGAACTGCAGAACTGACCTTGAACAGCCATGATGCAAATATCCTGAGAGGAGGGATCAGGACGGGAGGAGAGGGAGTTGACTGATTGTCAACGCTGATAGCGAGGTTGTCCCGGATCTGATGGTTTTTAAAGAACAGTGTTAATAAAAGCATTATCCTTTTTAATGCTTTTTTTTTTCATGATTATGTTTTACTTTTACTTTATTTACATTCAGGTACTACACCTGGGGCTATACAGAGCTCCCACTCCAGCCAAAGCCACCAGGAAAGCTTGGTCTATGCTGCTGCTCCCTGGCCAAAGCAAACACTGCCAGTTTGAGTCACTCTGTGGGCCTTTACACAAATACCAATGTCTGTACTTCTTTTTTTCTTTGCTACTGTTTCCTCACCCCATTTAAATACTCTTGTCATTGGATAGGATTCTCTGTCGGAGTTTGCTGCTGGAAACCAAACAAGACAAAGCTTCCTTTAAGACAGAGCCCTCCCATACCACGTTTATGCTCCAGGTGCTAAATCCCATTTAATAATCATTTCCACAACAAAATAAATGTGTCATTACCTCTAGCTGTAAGTACCACCTACCTTTGCAAGTTTATACCACAGCTCATAAAGGTAGCCAAAAACTTTTGCATGGATTTTAGGTGACTGTATGTTGTTCACATCTCCAAGAATTCCCAGGATTCTCCTCCACAGCACAGCAGCAGAATCAGGATGCCAACCAATAAGGCTCCCACCAGCAATTATACTGCAATCATCAGCCAGGAACTCACTGCTGTCTGTAAATTTAAAGTGTTCCATTTTCACAAGTTAGAAATGTAGTCTAAGCATGAATTTGGTCAACAAAATCTGGTCATTACTCCTCCTAACCATCTTCCATCTCACAAGAATTCTCTCCCCCAAATCTCTCTCTTTCATTGCTGGAGCTGCTTTTCAATCAAATGTAGGCAAAGGGCCTTGCAGGTGACAGCACCAAAGGGCACAGCACTGCCACACCACACTGTCCCCACCCGAGAGGGATTTTCTGCAGGGAGGCAAATGCAGCTAAATGCAATATTCTGGTACCTGAGGGATGTATTCAATCAATAACTGGCTCTTACAGGCAATATTTCTATATTTATAAAAAGTCCTTTCTTTTTTCTTTTTTGTTTTTTTAAGATGACACAGTGTAGCAAGACCTGGCAATGCAACTGGACAAAGGAATAAAAAGCCACGGCTGAAGAGTCTTGAGGAATGTGCTCAGGCATCACCACTCATCCAGAGCAGCTCCTGAGAGAGCAGAGCTTGGAGAAGGCTGTCAGGGTAATGGGATTTATGCTCTTAAACAGTACAAATCCAGACTGAAGTGCACATTTTAATGACAAGAGCTGGTAGCTGCCCTCCTGTTGCAGGCAGCAGCACAGCCATGCTGCTCCAGGCATACCTGCAGCAACCAAGGCATGGAAGGAAGTTGCAGGAAACCTCTACACAGGCAGAAGGAAATAACTCATGTCCTCTGAGGACTCAAGGAAGGTTAGTGAAATAAAAGGCATTTTAGATGCTTTTATGTTTGAATATATTTTAAAAACAACTTTGGGGATTTTTACTCCTTTTTGTTTTGTAGCATTACAAAGCCCCAAAGTGCTAAACCACATGTTATTTATTAAGCACATTAGAATGACCTCCTACAGATCTGTGCTCAGGGAAGTGGCATCTGTGCTCAGTGGCAGTGTCAGTGTTGTTCTGCCTTACCCTATATCAGGTTTCCACAGCAGAGCGAGCTGTGACTTGGCTGGGAGGCAGGAATGCAGTCAAGGGCACTTTGGCTCTGCTGGGCAATGACACATCTGTTAACCCACTTCTCCTTTGACTCCACATTACCTGCCAGGTTGCTACACGTGGCTCTCTCTCTTTGTACCCCCAAAGGGGCAATCCCTACACCACAGCCACAAACAATGAATTTATCGTACATGATTGTTCTTACCATGGGTAGTATTACCTTTTTTACAGCAGCAGTCCCAGCAGCTGGACTAGGTGTGCTGGTTCATTAAAGCACAGATATTTCAAAGGAAAAGTCAACATGAAAAAGTACTCTTGAAATTGTGTATTCATTAGGAAGGCAGCCTGTAAGACATCCCTACATCACTGCATTAAGCTCCTGACCTAATATCTGACTAGCACTACCAGATGAAGGGTACCTTTACAAATGGCAAAGAATGACCCACTTATTTCCTATCAGTCAAAAAAATACAGTGAGACATTTCCTCAGACCACGCTGCTATGAAATAAAACCTGTTCACTTGAAACATGTATTAGTGTGCTGTACTTGAACATTGGGGCAGCCCCACAGTGCCCAGCTGGGCACTGTAAGAAGCCCAGTTATTTTCAGCTGGGCAGGCAGTGGCTTTCTGGATCATCTGGCAAATCAATGGATGATCCAAACCCCTTCTGCTCTGAGTGAGCACGATGAAGGTGCCACGTGTCACACAGGCCAAGCGAGGAGCACAACTCCTCTCTGGGGCACAGGAGTGAGCTCACACAGTGTGGGGCCCGTGGTACCTGTGAGGTTGGCAGGCTCCTGCGAGGGGCTGAGCTGGAGCCAGCGCGGCGCTGCGGGGTCCCCGCCCGCTCCCGCCGCCAGCCCGGCCTCGGGGTCATCCTCGGCCGCCTGCCAGGCCACCAGCGCGATGTCCACGTCAGCTCCACAGCCCAGGGACGTGTCACTGCTCACGCTCTCACCTGCAAACAGCACAGTGCTGCTCACAGCTGCGCCCCAGAGAAGCGTCTCGGCCGGCTGCAGCAAAATCGCAGCAGATTTCAGGTGCTGTGCCTGGCAAAAACACTCTCGGGGTACTCACTTTTCTCTCTCTCTCTGTAATACCCGTGAGATTGCTGCAAGTCTGCTTTCAGATCCAGATCAGCTGTACTGCTGCTCCTCTGCATTAGCACCTGCAGGGAAAGAATTCATCTCAGCTTATACAGCTCTGAGCACTACACCACACTCCAGCAAATTTCACACCCACACAGTCATTAGAAATTAACCACAACCCGGTCAAGACATTCTCATGAATATTCAGAGTATCCAAGTGTATGTCAGTGTCCTTAGGAAAACATAAGGCTTTCCATTTCATTCTTTATCCTCCCTCTCACATCCTCAGTTTTCACACCAACAAGCAGGATTTTTTACCTATGTTTTTCAAACACATCTGAAATAATTTGTTAATGTATAAAAAAAAATCTTTTGGCCTTCATATTTCACAGAGATGATGAGGCTAAGTAATTTATTGTTTCAACTGTTCAGTCAAAAGTTGCCATTAAATATGTATGAAGTTTGCCTGTGCTGATGTCAACTCACACTAACATCTGCCATGCACGGCTGGTGATAGGAACTGTGCTGAACAGAAGCATTTTCATCTATGCTTTAAACCATCAAACATTTATTCCAGTGTACTGTAGCTCTGTAATAGCCATGAATTATTTATATTTTAAAAGTTACAAACTCCTTGTTGATATTTCATAAAAAGACCAAAGCCTTGTGTAAGACTAGAACAGACATACAACTGCAGAAGCAGCTGATGACATCAGGAGACACAAACTGATCACACCCAGCAGGACAACAACCTGCTGTGGGGCTCACTTCCAGATGCCACACCAGAAATGGGATTAATGGCTTTTCACACTTTCACCTCCTAGAGTTTCTGAATGCTAAAAAGCTTCTGATTAGAAAGAAAACACTGCTAGGATCTTCACAGACATTACTTCTGGCTTTGCCTTACTTGCTCGGCTTCATGCTCCTTTACATATCCCTTATTTTCCTGAACCAATTTGGAGTCTGAAGTTGAATTTCCAGCCTTTTTACCTAGAAGTTTCAGAAAGGAAACAAAAACTATAAACATTTGCAGGACCAAAACATGCAGCAAGTCTCACGTAAATTTCAGCTATGTTTACATGTCTCATATTTATAGTTAAGGGCCACAAAACACTTAAACTGGATACAAGAAGCTTTGAAAAATCCTTCAGAAGCATAACATACTTACAGGAGAGGAAGTGAACTCCAACTGCAGCTTGAATACACAAAATTCAAATGCAAGTCAGGCGAAAAGTCAAAGAGTTACATACAAAGTGCACACATATTCCAGATTTCTTTTTTGGCCTCTCTGCTTTACAAAAGTTCCCATCCTGCACTGAGTCTCTAAATTCCTTGAAGTTCTTTCAACAACTTACCAACTATGCAGCGACTAAGAAAATTAACTAAAACCACATTTTAGAGGAGAGCTGGAAACCAAAGTAATTAAGAGTAGCACTTGTGAGGCTGAACAAGTCTCAAATATTTTCCTCGAAAAACACAGTATTGCTGCACTTTACTAGAATTACCTTGAAAAAAATCAGATGGAATCTGATCTGCAATATCTGAAGTGCTGCTGCTTCGAGTTAGCTGCTGCTCTTGGTCTGCAAATAGGCCTGCAGCTTCTGTTCCTTCTGAGTTTTCCAGCTGTTGAGATTCTTCAACTTCTGTTGATTTAATTACAACACAAAATATTTGCAGGAGTTCATATGTACACCTGCAAACTCCTCACCTAAGCGCTATGAAAAAGCAACCCTTGCAAATATTTAAAATTCCCAAGATAAAATTTACAAGTTATAACTTCAGGTCTATAAAACATCCTTAGAAAAACTGTAAAGTTTAGAGATGCATGAGCAGCATAAAAGGTCTAGAAAAGGAGAGATGTGATTTTGGGATTTAACAAAGAGGAGAAGGTCCCATGAACAAAGCTGGAGACCTCAGCTGGGCCCTGTTCATTCTCAAGAGAGAAAGAGCAGAGGCAACAGAACTCCCTGAAATGCAGTGTGGGGAGAAGCTGGCTGTGCTCCCTGAGTGCCTCCAGAAAGAGGGGAAGGAAGGAGGAATAAAGAAAGGCAAAAATTTAGAGTAAAAAAAGCTCTGCATCAGATATAATTTGGGTTTATCTTGTGAGGACAAACCCAACCAGGCAGCTTTTGGTTTGGCTTTAACTGCAAATGAGAAACAAAAGGGGGAGAGAGAAGCATGGAAATCCCCAAGAGAAAATAAACTGACATGCTGGGGAAGGAGCAACAGAAATTCTTGAGATTGCAGAGCAACACAGCACTTTGAGAAATTAATTTCTCTTAGCATTTGGGAAAAAAAAACCAAAAAAAAAACCCCAAAAAAAGCTACTAACACTCCAGTGTTTCCATACAGCAGTGTGAATTCTTGAGATTGCAGAGCAACACAGCGCTTTGAAAAATTCATTTCTCTTAGCATTTGGGGGAAAAAAAAAACAAACAAAAAAAACCAAAAAAAGCTACTAACACTCCAGTGTTTCCATACAGCAGTGTGCAAGTTTTAATATTGCTTTACTACTTAATAAACTCTGTAGGTACTTCAGAAAGTTATCTCAGGAGGCACATACACAAAAACTAACATTTCTGGTATTGACTGACTTCAGCTGACTTTCAATGTCTTACAGAAAGCAATAAAATAAAACATTCAATGCAATTCACTAACTGGAACAATTTCAGCGTTCCCCCCAAAACAACTTGAGATGAAAACACAAAGATGTTTCACTGAGCAGGAATCCCCAGAGGGCCTTAAGGCACCATGTACAGAACTCTCCTTTCTCTTGCTACTGCAGGTAATGAGTCTGGGCAGGACTCAGGAGTCACAAATCCCTCCCAGGAAGTGAAACATGGGAATTTTTACTTTAGTTACTAAGCAATATAGATCTAATTGCAACTGATGGCAGTCTTTAATATCAACATGAACAAAAATTGCTTTGCTTGCAGTGCTGCAAACATTCTGAGTAGAACCAACCAGACAGAAAGGGAACAGACAGAGAGCAGTTTAAAAATATAAAGAACATTGATATCAAAGATGACTTTAAAGTACAGTACCTGACAGTCTGTGAGAGCAAGAAGTGTAAGAGATACCAGGGAAGAGAGAGCTCACAGTGTGAAGCAGAAGAGGTACACTTTTAGTGGCTGGCAAAGCCTCATAAAGATGGACACAGTTGCTGATAGACTGGCTTCGCTTAGCTTACAGGAAAAAATAGAGCAACAATTACATCAGGAACACAGTGAAATATTGCAGTTCTGAGTGTCACAACACAACCAAACCCAGAGTTTCAGGATAAAGGTTTTCAACAGTAAGCCCAGGGGTTTGTCCCCTGAGATGTAAGTTAATATTGTGCCACACTCTCACACTGAAAGGGTAATAATCAGGGATTTCTGATCCACAGACAGTGTGGAAGGGCCTTTTATTTGAACATACACATACAAGAAAAGCCATGGATTAACACTTCCAGGTTCTCCCTGCTGCTCTGGCAGGATGTCAAAGGGGAAAATGCTGCGGCAGTAGAGAGAACCCTTCACTGGAGCACAAACAGGTACTCACTGAATTTAGAAATCAAACTCAAGACTGAACTGGCTCTACTGCCAAAGCACTCAGTGATCCAGGCTGGAGGTCATGCCTCAGCCATGGAGCCACAAACCACCCCGAGTGCTCTCCATCCTTCCGGCTCTCCTTGTAAGGAACTGGGGAGGGAGCTGTGCAGCCCAGCAGCTCCTGCTCAAAGCAGGGGGCTTCCACAGGAGTCTGCCCCAGCAAACCACCACATGGAAACATGCTGACAAGATATAAAGAAAAGGCAGGTTCAGGCTGCTGAAATGCTTGGACAAACCGAGATCTGCTCCATGTCTGGGGTCTCAGCCATTACCCCAACATACCTCAACCCAGTCTCCCTCCTGCTTTCCTCTTTGCAGAAGTAAACATGAGAGGAAAACCTCATCATGCCAAGAAAAAAAGCACATAAAGCAACAATGAAAGGATAATATTTATTAAATACCTGGTTTACCTTGTGCTCCCACTAAATAGTTGTATCAGTATCTGCTATCTGCCTGACAGTAATAAATGCTCTCTTAGGAACTGATAAAAACAGCCATGTACCTCTAGAAAAACCCCTAACATGAACAGGTTTAATTCACAATTCAATGTCCTGTAGTTAAAAGCTTACACAGAGAATTTCCCAAAACACTTTGTGATTCACACTGGCCAAGACATCCTGACACAGACATGCAACCTCTCTGTTGGGGCAGTTAATTATTGAGTTGCTTTTGGCAGCAGCCACCCCTCAGAGGCAGATTTAAAACCTGAGTGTTACTGAGTGTCTGGGTACCAAAGCACTCAGCTGTGGTCTAACCTGTGGCTCTCTGACGGACAATGTTTCTTGCTTTCTCCACTCCCGGGGCCCCAGAGGTTGTGGCACTTCTGAATCTCATTGGCTCCACAACTTCGGGGTGACTTTTCCAGCTTAAGGAAAAAGATCTTCCTACTACAGCTGTCTTCTGAGGCTCTAAAACACCACCTTAGGAAAAAGAACACAAAATTTTCTGGCACTGGATGCTTTGGCGTGTATTTTTGCTGAAGTACGAATGGACTCAGATATGGCAAATATTAATACTTTAAACAACACAGGTTAACTTTTACTATTAATCAAAACCAACTGGTAGTTCAAACTATGTGCATCGATCTCAAGGTGGCATGCAAATGCAGCTAAAATACTGTCAATTAGAAACTTTACTAAAAATACACAGAAAGGAATTTTTACAGAGTTGCCAGTGCCAGCCAACAGCACAAGAAACCACATTTAATCTCTGCCATCCAAAAAACCCTGAGTGTAGGTGCAGACTCCAGCCTGCCCCCAACTACCTCTCCTCCCCAGTGAAGGATGACAACACACAAATCCCAAGTGCTTCACATTTGACTAAACAGGTCCTTACACCAGATTAAGTAGTGTTTAACATTAAATTAATTTTTAAGACTAAGCTTCAATATTTAACCAGTTTGATAAAAAAAAAGGCACTGAAGCACGAAGTCGAACCTTTGCCTCTCTGCTTTTTTTCCTTCTGTTCACTGAGCTTGTCCAGGGGCAGGTTTGTCATCTCCACACCATACACAGTCCTGGCCAGCACTGCTGTCAGGGAGTCCATGATGTTGGCCCACTCGTTGATGAGCTCCTCCCAGTCCGTCAGGCCGGACAGGACGCTGAGCAGCTCATCCCACAGCTCCCGGGAGATGTAAACGCTCAGGTTGGCTCTGATCCAAGCCACAATGAGGGTCTGAGGGAAGAGATACCAGTGGTAGCTCGGGCACGGCTGACAAGATGAGTTCAGCACACCAAACCCATCCCACAACTCCAACCTGCACATCAGCATGGGCTCTTGGTGAGGTACAACTATGTGCAGAGCTATCTTCCCTCAAAAAACACTCCCAGAAATAATAGGGAAAGTTACTGATGAAGGAAATTAAGAAAAATTTCAGGCTAAATGTTGTCTGGCAAACTGAAATAAGACACTTATTATAAACAGCAGAGTGAATGACTATCCTACACCCACAGAACAACTGCAGCAACTGAGCACTGGGGCGGCACTACACACCCAGTTACATTTTCCAAGCTGGAAGTATAGTAGGAAGCATAAATGTCTCTTTCACTCAGTGTGACTCACTTTTGACTTGCCAGCTGGACTTTTAGGAAAACAGTTACTTGATTCTTACACTTTAGAGACACTCACTGAAAATAGCCCATCTGTGCTACCACAGTTTGTAACAGAGCCCTGAAGAAAGAGCAAACCCAACTCTCCCTCCATTAGTAACAGTTTACAAAATAATCACTAGCAAAACATGAGAAACCCCTCCTTCACAGTAATACAAGTAGGTTTCATGGTACTTAACTAAAACTGAGGGCAGTTGTGACAGAGCAAACCAACCAACCCCACTCACTCACTCTGAACAGCAGCCCTGCCATGCTCTGAGCAAACGTGTCCTTTGTCTGGTTCTCCTTTGGCTTCTGCATCACAGCTTCTGTTATTCTGAGGAGTATCAGCAGCATCTGTTCCCTGATTCCAAAACAAAAGGTGTTCCATTAGCTGTACCTGCTCACTAATCTTGCAGCAAAGCCTTACTTATTGAGAATGCAGCCACACTTCAGACTTCACAGATAATTTGTAAAATAGCTTAGTTGGTTGTGGACTGTTAACTTTTTCTCTTGAATGATGGTATGTTAACCTTACCACGTCTTCCTGTTCATGGACAGCTCAATCATTTGTAAAATAGCTTGGTTGGTTGTGGACTGTGACAACTTTTTCTCTTGAATGATGGTATGTTAACCTTACCACGTCTTCCTGTTCATGGACAGCTCCATTATCATACGCCTGAAGATGCTGAGAACAGCTTTGCAAGCATCCACCTGCTCCTTCAGCAGCAAAGGGACCTCAGTGCATGGCTCCAGCAGGAAAACATTTGCCGAGTTTGTCAGGAATACCTAGTGTTGACAGTCCATTTTCACAGTGTTAGGAATGAAAACAGGCAAGACTTACAACAAAATACTGTGCTCCTTCAGTTAAACCTTCCCTTTTCCTTAGAGGAAGGTTCATGTTTTACACATCACTTAATTTTTCTGTTATTCCAGCAATGAGCCAGGTGGCTCCCATGACACACCCACCAAGGCTCACTATGTGGTTTGTGGGTGTCTACTCTGCTTGGGCAGGCAAGAGGACATTCCTCCAGTCATTCATTTCCTTAATTTCCATCATATGCTTAAACAGCCCCAGTATTTTCAATAAATGAAGTTCAGAAGAAGTAAATGCATGGTTCTGATTAATTCCTAGTACTCACAGGAGGAAAAAAAATTACCCTTCTGCGTTAAAATACAGATCTCTGGCCTTAAGACATGGTCATGTGGTTTAATATACATGTTTCAGAGTGACACATGAAGTCCAAATTGTGTCTTACAGAACCAATCAAGACCTGGTAGTTCTTTTCCTCCATCTCAGAGACTGTAATGGAATTTGCAGGTTCTGTGACCAGGCAGGTCATGGCCCCACATGTCCCCTTCCCACCCAGGTCCCACCCAGCTCACCTGCAGCGCAGCCTGAGCACCAGCCTTCACATCCCTGTCCTCATCCTCCAGCACGCAGCCCCTGCTGACAGCACTGGTGAAGGAGTAGGTCCTGCCCCAGCTGGAGGAGCGCTTGTGCCCGCTGGGCTCCGAGGAGAGCTGCCAAACACAGCCTGGTTAGCAGCAGGGCACAAAGGACATGATACAAAACCATCCCTGAGGTCAGCAGCAAAAGCAGGGGAACTGGCGTGGCATACACTCATTTCCACAAGGAATTCCTGGCTATTCTTCATTTCCACACATGGAATTTGAAGGCTCATAAAAGTTTTAGAAGGTATGTTACTTAAAACATTTTTCACCACTTTTTATAGTCACTGATTGTAGTAACACGTGAATTTAAGTCTGGCAAAACCACAAATTCTCTACAAAACAAAGTAAAAACCTTGTAATTCTCACTGTTTTACAAATCAAACCTGTTATTCAGTACTAGAAAACTTCCCTTCAAACAGTGTCAACAGTGTCAAAGGACTTGGCCTGATGGCTCAAAACAGGATATTAAAAGATGATGTACAGGAACTGTATCCACTGGTAAATTTTCTAGATTAAGGTGTCCAGCTACAATATAGAGAAATTAATACATATTGTAAAGTTTTTAAGCACCACCAAAATGAAATAGTTCTCCATGTCTTAGGCCAGCAGATAGTCAATTTTAGCACTGCAAAACCCATCAGTGTTTCTTCCATGAAGTTCCTGATGTCATATTCACACATGCAGGGAATAACCACAAATGACATTTCTCTAAGTGCTACTCAGTAACTATTTCAACTGTGAGTCCTTAAATAAAAGCATTTTTAAATTCTTATTTCCCCCACACTTTAAACTGTTATTCCTCTACAGAGTGAGGTGAAAAGCCCCATATTGCAGCGGACAAAGTAAGGAACAGGGATACCATACATGTTTACCGTCTGTTTGCACTGAGGAGTCTTCCAAGGGAGCAACAGCATCCTGGCTGTCCTCCTTCTTGTCTGGCTCCTCCATGAACACAGGTTTCTCCTGCAGTATCCACTTCTGGTACACTTTCACCACCTTCCGTGTTGCGGATATATCAGAAGGCGGCAACAAAAAAGCCTGAAAAGGAAAGTTCACCGATTTCAGAAGGCAGCAACAAAAACAGGACAGATGTGGTGCATACAAACACACACACTGCCATTTTAAGCAGCAAGCTTCAGTTCCTTCAACAATTCCATAATCTGATCGTTAAACCAGACCTAGGAAGGAGCCCGACCTCAAAGGCTGCTGCTGTGACCAGCACCAAGTTTGCCCAGCAGGGCACCTCTCCACCCGTTCCCTTCAGAAACAAGCAGCAGGGCACAGACCTGGCGGAACACCTCGTTGACGAAGTTGACGTATCCGCGCGTGGAGAGCAGGATGCCCTGCACCATCTCGTAGACGCCGCGGTGCTGCTCCTCCACGCTGCAGAGGCTGCAGCTGCTGAGCCTCCTGTCCGAGAGGCTGCTGCTGCTGGAGTGGCCGCGCTCCTGCTCGCCCGCGGGCGCCGCGCCCGCCTCCAGCTCCGCGCTCTTCTCCTGGCCCACGGCGACCGTCTGCAGGCACAGCACAGCACGTCACCCACCCATCCCAGTACTCTGGGATCATCACAGAGAGCTCGGGATGTGCAGCACTGTAGCAGGCCAAGGGCCTGCAATGGCTCCCTGGTGGTCAGAAGCCTAAGATAGGAAATGCCAAGTCATGATGACTGGACCTTAGAAGCCCCTCTCTTCCACCTTTGGACCCTTGCTTATCTCTCTGTAAGCCTATAGGTCACTTTCCTTTGCCCCTTACTACTGGACAATTTCCAAAACCCCTGTATCCTATATAAACCCCTATTTCTGCCCAGTTCAGCAGAAGAGCTGTCACTGAGAACCTTTGTGGAAGACCCCAATAAAGAATTTCTTCGGAACCTCACACAGCTTTCTCTTCTCTCTCCCTGTGTCTGCCGTGCGGCACCTAGCAAGCTACAGAGCAGAAATCACAAATGAACTGATAATCACTAGGAGCTGATATCACTTGAGCTTGCTAAGGCTGCCTGTGGCTAGCAGCTGCTTGGGGACTCGGCCAGGCTGTGCTGAGCAGGACTGAGCTACCCAGACCACTGCAGCCCACCGAGCATACCCTGGCTGAAGCGGCCATTAACTGGCGATCCAAACTTAGCATCCCATGAACTCTCTCCCCTTGGTCAAGCCCTCAGCCCTGGAAACATCAGTAACTACACACCATAGAGTTAGTCCTCCTGCGGGTAAAAACAGACACCCCCATGGACCTTTTGTGTCATAACTTCCTCTGGATTCTCCTTCCCACGTCCCCTGACTGGCTTGGCATCCCTGGTGGCCACCCCCTTCCTCTGGAGGCCAGTCCCCTCTGCCCAGCCCTTAGCTCTGCTCCCCACCTCTTCCCCTTTATAAGCTGCCCGCTCCACATGGTTCATTCTCTTTCCCATTGGGTTTCCCTCCAGCTACAGTGTTACTCCACTGGAATAAAACCTTGCAAAAGAACCTTTCTTGCCTCTATCACTAAGCCAGTTGTGCTGAGTGGAGTTTGGCTGCGTTGCCTGAATGTTAACTCAACCTGCTTTTTGTCAGCAGAGGTTTGCTGGGGACAAGAGATAGGCAGCAGCACCTGCTATTCTAAAACCCACATTTTTAGGGATACCCTGTCTGGCACAACACTGCCATCCCAGCAGTCAGGCATGACAGATTTCAGTCTGCCGCTCCATCCAAGAAAGAATTTGGTCTTTGCAAACTGGACACTTCCTTACAGCAAAACTGAATTGTCCATGCCACGCAAAGAGTGCAAAGAAAGGCACAAACACAGTGGAGAGGAATCCCCAAGTCCCTTTATCTTGGGGAAAAGATGGATTGTAGCACTACACATTATAAGGCCTAACACCTTTTTGCCAGGTTTTGCTCTGGCACTGCCTGCATTTTGCAACCTCTCAAATGTGTTGATTCTCTGCTGAGCCCACAGCTGACACTCACCTATGGTTCAAGACCAAATGTAAGCTGAGATTGATTCTAAATTCTTAACAGGAAGCTGGAGAGTCTCTCAAAAGCATTGACTTATAAAATTCATTGTGAGGCATCTAACGCCAGAGAAGTCTCAACCATGACTTTATAAATTAAATATTTCTCTAATATCTCATTGTAAACAGCTGCTATAACTGAGAGGAAAACAAAGCAGCCTTTGATGTCACTGGGAAATGGTCCATGGAACCACCAAGTATGACAGTTTACAGAGTAAATTCCAAAAGTCTAAATATAATACTGCTGAAGCTGGTAATAAAACAAGTTATGAATTAAAAAAACCAAACAACTTCTAGCGAATTACTGAAGGGTTTTGCTTGGAGATTCCCTCCTCCACCAAAGAAAAAGAAAATCAAATAAACAGCTACATCATTTATTCACTAAGGGGTACCATTTCTTTGTGCTTCAGCTCTCAGTGCAGTGAGATCACCTGCAAGGTTAGCACGCATGCAAGAGAGTTAAACTTTAAAGCCCACCTGAATAATTTTAGGGAGCACTTCTCCTCCATTTTTTGTGCTCTGAACAGCAGTTAAATACTTCTTTTCAAGGAAGAAGGTAACGAGCCACTTGATAAAAACCACTCGAGCTGCCATGTAGGGGATTTTAGTGCAGTAGACACTCTCATTGTTCCGTGTTGCAGTGACATACACTGGCCTCGGCCTGATATCAGGGATGTCTGGAGGGGACAAAAAGGAAGAGAGAAACAAAGTGGAATCTTAGTAATTGCTTCCCAGCTCTGGCTAAATGTACCCAACGCATCACCCAAGAAATAACAGATACAATGACTGACTGCTTTTATTTTATTAATGCTTGTATTCTATCCTAACTTCATCGCTCCTCGGGAGAATGTAACAGCACAGCTCTTTTCTGACCTTATCACTTGTATCAGTCAAAACAAAGGAAAGCAAAAGGAAGTGCTGCAAAAGGGAGGGCAAAAGCTGAAACAAAGAACCAGCCCTGCTACAACATAAGTTAGTTTTACAGGAAACCAGGGAGAAGAAACTCCTCATCCCACAGAGCTGTAGCCGTACACCAGCAGGTAAGAGATGCTGCTGAGAGCAGGCTCTGGCTTTTTCTTCTTCCAAGGCAAAACCCACTACTTACCCAGCACAGGTTTGTAGAGGTTGGTTAGCTTTGTAAAAGATGGGAACAAGTGAGGAAGATAGTATTTTCTGAACAAAGTAAAGAGAAACTTAAAACCAGTGTCTTGGTTCTCCTTGTTCTTCCACTCCAAGCTGGCAGCCTTTGTCAGAGAGTTAGAGAGAAACAAACAAAAAGCTTTAAGTTAATGTGTTATACTGACAATTGTACTGACAAAAAAACCAAACAACTACACTTTAGTAAGAAAAGAAAAAGCAGCACAGCCCCAAAACCACCTTTACAAACTGCAGTAAGGAAGGAAAGTAAGAACAGAACATCCCCCAAAAGCCAGCAAGCTCAGTGGAAGCCAGTGGATTTGAGCTGTTCTAACCAGAGGACAGCAACTGTCCTGTTCTGCTCCCAATAAATTTGCTTCTTACAGGAACATTTTGACAAAGTCACTTTGAGCTCTGCTTTTATCATTAATATTTTCTTTTGTCAGAATAAACACAAATAAACACTGGAACCACTATGCAATGGGATTTGTAGAATAAGCAGGTTTGTTTAGACCCCTCACAGGTAACAAGAATATAAAAATAAGAGTGACATTTTTGTTTTTAACTGAAGTGTTGTGAGACTCTGATATGTGAAACAAAGGGTGCTGTGGAGGAAGCTGATAATTTCATACAGCCACTTTTTAAAATAAAGCATTTATTCAAGATGACAAAACCCTTTCCAAATATTATTTTGGTCTTGCCTTTTCATACTAGAAAGTGTATCTCAAAGTATTTAATTATAATTTATCTTCTTTTAGTAACAAGGCTCTTTAATGTTCATTGTCTGCACAGCTTCCACTTTATTTCAAATGTTGCTTAATTTGTACTTTTAAAATATATACATTATCTTAATTTATTTCCTGCACAGATTCATCTGATCTGCTTCTAATTAAATTTTATGTACATGTTACTTGCATCCTTTTAAAAACATCACAGAAGCCATCTCTCCTTATCTCTTCCTCCAGTGGCCCTTTACATTCCTTTTCATCTAGGTATGTGTCCAAAGAGAACAAACTGAATCTTTACCCCACATCAATTTTCTAAACGCAACCACGAGCACATAAAACAGCCAGTTATTCTGCAAGTTTGGATAACATTCATTAATTCTTATCACAAAAGTGTAACAAACTTCTTATTTTCACCAAAAATGGCACGAGGAAAATACCTTTGGGATGATTTTCCACTTAAGAGTAAAAAATGTGCTGGGGAAGGGTAAACCCAGCTCCACACAGATGCAGTGTAGGCTTAATCTTCTACCACAAATATGAACAGTTTCAAACATCCATCCTCCTCACCTGAATTACCATATATTTTAATAGGAGCTGGAGAAAATAGCAGGTCTGGTCTTCTGCAATTTTCTCTCCAGAGACAGCTGGCAAAAGCGGCGTTATTTCTTCTGGAAATATCTTAGCTAAAATCAAAGATTTCAAGCATAGAATGCATTAAAATACTGAAATAAAAGTTATTTTCTGTAAAAGATTGATTTGAAAATACCCATTAGGGCACTACCAAGCTGTGCAAGGCCAGCAGCTGCTCAGTTGTCCAAAGTCCTGGCACATCCCAGCGAGGATGACACCAGACTCCCAGCAGCTTGGAAGGGCTGACACCAGCAGTGAGCCAACAAGGAGAAAACCTCCACCTCCAACAAGGAGGAAACCTCCACTGCTTGAGGGGCAGTAAAATGCTCCTGCTGCATCTGGATTAAAACCACCCCAGAGCCAAAGAGCAAACCCTGACCACTCAGAGGGACAGGAGCGGGCGGCTCTAGAGCCGCACCAGCCCAGCAGCTGGACACACACTGCGGCCAGCTCGGAATTCCAGGGGCAGCCAGCAGCACCCACTGTCCCCTCCTCCAGGAGAGGCACCCCAGAAGGTTCACCAGCAGCACCCATTGTCCCCTCATCCAGGAGGGACACCCCAGGAGAACATTCACCAGCAGCATCCATTGTCCTCTCCTCCAGGAGAGGCACCCTATCAGTGAAATTTTGCCCAACTAGGTGGAGGAATGAGGAGGACTCCATTGATATCAGAAGGCTAATTAATTACTTTATTATACTATTATTCTATATTATATTACACTACATCTAAACTGAAACTGAACAAGAACTGAACAAAATCTCATCACTGTCTGCCGACCGACAGTCTGCACATGCCCTGACAGGGCAAGGAAACAAACCACCATCACTTTGGGTAAACAACCTCCACACTGCACTCCACTTTGGCACAACACAGGAGCAGCAGATGAGACAGGAATCGTTTTGCTGATCTCTGTGCTTCTGCCGGGTTCAGGATCCCCCAGCCCCGGGAGGAGGCTCACCGTCGGGCGCGGCCGGCGGGCTGACCAGGCTCTCCAGCGTGCAGGGCCCGCGCGAGGACGGCAGCGGGGGGAAGCCGGGCACCAGGCAGGCGAACATCAGGATCTGCTCCTCGCCACAGTTGGTCTGCAGGGCTTGCAGCCACAGCAGGAACAGGCGGATTCCTTCACACCTGAGCTGCAAGGGGGTGGTTTGGGCAAAAAGGGCAGTGATACAGGTCTGTAAGTGCAGTAACATGGGTAAATAGTTCACAACAGGCAGGGCAAGAGATTTATCCCAGATAGGTGTTGCAAGGTCCTGCCATCATACCAAGGGTATTCACATTATTACTATAATCCTAGTTCTAATGCCAGAGAAAGCTCAAAAAATTAGGTATTAAGCAATATCTGTTAATACCTTCTCTAGGTAACTTCACAAGGTCATGAGAGCAGCAAAATGACTGAAAACACATTAAAATAATCAAGGATCACAACAATAAAACTTAATATTAGAAGGTGAACAAGAAAAAATTAACATGGAACACATTAATTTTTAAACTAATTTTCCACATTAACAATGCTATAGGAAAGCTGCAAAGTGGCATACTTCACAGGAATTAAAGTGAAAAGAAATATGAGAACATCAATGCAATACCTTGAGAGAATTTCCAGTGTGCAAAAGCTTCTTCAGAATCGACCCTGGATTAGGAAAATTAGGTAGACATTATCGGACACCTCCCATCACAATGTTTTCAAAAACATTTCATGAAAGCCTACTTTATTCTGGGGCCACTGTGCTGGCTTTTAAGACAACTATGGGGGGGAACCCCCAATTGAATCAAACTACAATCACCACCACCCAAGATTAACTGTGATGTATCTTTCCAGTGAGGTCATCTGTGTTTCCTCAGAGGACCATGTCTCAATTTTCATTAGTAGTAAGATCTGTGAATTATATACATTCCTTAAATTGACTCCTTCCCATTTAAGGAATGTATATAATGGCAAGATCTCACCATCTCACAAGATTATATAGACATTATCAACATATATAGGGAATTCACATTAATGCACATGAATGTTAAGCAAAAGTAAGGCGTAAATAAATGCTCTGCCAAATTCTGTACATTGCTTTTCGGACACAGATAAAAAATTTTGCCACTATAACCACTCAACAGAAGCATAAAGAATGTATCAGCTACAGAGTAACCAACTGGAACCAATTTGGTCTGGACTAGTGCAGCTGAAGCATTATGAAGTGGCCAGGCAGATGTCTCCTCTTGTTTTTGTCAGTGCTGAGTGGAAATGTGACAACAGCCCTTCCCTTGACCTTTAACTTCCGCTCATTGTTCTTCTGCAAAAGCAACTCCTTGTTCTGATGACAAAAATGGCAGCTGGTCAGACAGTGCTGCAAACCAACCCCAACCAAAAAGTCCTACTTGGAAGGAATAGAACCCCCCCACTAAATTTTAATAAGCAGCATAAAAACCTTTTGGTGCCACACTGGTGGCATTTGGAAGCAGAATTTGAAAAGCACTGATGAATCCAAGGCATTTGATTCAGAGGAAATTATCAAGTTAAACCACTTCACTGGATTGCAAGGTGTTCTCTGCCAGACTCCTCCTATTCCCTCCCTTCTTCCAGAAACTTCAATACCACCAGAGTGGAGAAAAAACAATCTTGGTCTGAGGAAGCCACCCATGAGTATCTTGTGTCTTTCATGGCCAAGGCCATATTCTAACAGGGTGCTGGGAAAATCCTCCATTTCATGAGAATCTGGGAAAGACAGTTGGGGCCAAACTTGCACAAATACCATGTATTCATAACTCTACTCATATATCGCTCATTAAAAGAAAAATTGACCTGAAAAAAACTACTAAAAAGTCAATTTTTTTTTAAAAAACAATTTCTTCTTACCTATACTGCGAAAATGCCATCGATAAAAAATCCTCTCTGGTAGTAGCTGCAATATTTTCTGCAGGAAACAAAACTAGTCAAATTTTCTGTAATAAAACTGGTTCGTCAGGAGGTACAGAGAAACAGATGCACAACATACAAATGAGATGGGAATAAATACACAGTTTCTTTTTAAACTACTGGCAGCATGGACTAGGGCTTGGCCACGGATGTGGCAGTGGCACAGCTCTCACTGCTGCTCCACCTCTCAAAGGTCTGACAGTACACAGGGCTTCACACAGGTTCCACACAAAAAATGCCTCCAACTTACAACCTTCCAGCCATTGAAATAAGAAAATAGGAAGACATATTTAAACAAGAAACTAGTTTTGAACACTTCCGTTTGGAAATCAAATTAAATTAAACAATGTTATAAATGACTGACAGTCAGAGCTCTTTGCAATTATCAGACAAAATGACTGCCACGAATTTCTGCACAACAAAGCACCTCTATGTTCTCAGTAATACCACATGCAGGATGCAAATGGATGACAGGTCACCTAAGCAACAGTGACACATTTGAGGGTGTTCTGCACACAGAAGCTGACAGGAAAAAACAAAGCATCACAGCCCAGAAAGCAGCTGGCACTGTGGGCCACCCCTGAGAGCTGGGTGACAGTGTCACCACTGCTGCTAGAGCGTGTGCTCGAGACATGGAGCAGGACAGACCTCTTGCTTTTGACAATAAGCCAAATAAAGGGCTTCAGAAATTATATTCAACATTCAGAACAGTCTTTTTGCACATGGAACATTCCTTTCTCCACAGCAAGGATGGTAGTCATGACAAGTTCATGGACACAGGGAGCTAGACCTCAGGTCACAGACAGGCTGGTCCTCCTCCACACCTTCACCATAGCATGTGCTCCCCACACAGGAAATAGCATTTCTGAAAGGTTAACCAGAATAAAAATGCAAACCAGACAGGTCCTCTCCATGTTCCTTGTATTTTGTTTCAGTGTCACTCCCCCAGCTCCCTCCCCAGCACACTGTGGCAGCAGGACCCCGGGAGCAGAAGGTCCAGAGGTCGAGCTCCCTGTCCGTGGGCAGCAGGAATGCTTGGGATGAAGGATCTGACTGGCTAAAAATCAGGCCATGACTCACATTAGGGCTTTACCTGTTAGTTAAGCACCAGGCTTCTGCCAATCAGATTGCAGGATCCATGGACAAAGAGCTATCATTATCCATCTAAACATTAAAACACTGGCAGCCCCCCACTCCTTCAGACTATTTCTGGCATTAATCATTACTTAAGTTGGCACGGGGCAGAAAGGAGTCCTAAGCTAACCCAGGAGCACTTCTAACCCAGCCTAACCCAGGAGCTCTGCGTGGGAGCTGGGTCTGTGCCCAGGCTCACCACAAGACGTGTGCCTGAGGTGTGCAAGGAAAAGCTCCAGGAAACAAAACCCTATGGCAAACCAGCAACAAAAAACTGGGCTGGATTCACACAACGTACTGAAGGAAGGAAGCTTCATATATCGGCACATTTATCATGGAAAACAAAACAAAACCACACATATTTTGTTTCCATTGTTTTAGTCTGTTACACAGTTTCATCTCAATTTGAACACGAAGTTCCCATCCAGAAAGTGAATTGTGACAAGGTGCGAGCTGCATAGGCTGGAAAAGTGCAAAGCTCCATAACAAAGACCCATTTGAAAAAGAATTTGGTAACAATTTTCACATCCATATCTCAGCGAACTTTAGGTTGTATTCAGAGAAAAGCAGAAGAACAAATGCTGCTGCACAGTTCAACAACAAGCAGGGAAAACAAGCCTAAACTCTTGCACAAAACTGAGGGGGTCAGGGCAGAAAACAACATGCTTACCATTCTTTTGTCTTTACAAAACACAGAATCCAACACCCTTGTCAGGTGACTGAATGAAAAACAATTCAAGGGTTCAAACCACCAGTAAGATTCCTATCTGAGAAAAGCTCCCATATCCCAAAGTCTTTTCATACAGCAAAAAAATGTAGACACTTAAGTCACTTCCCTTGCATTCTCCTTTTCAGCATCTCAAAACCATGAAAACAATAAATATATCTATTTTGAAAAAATGCAAGGGTGTGACTGATCACCTGCATGGTCCTGTCCCACAGCAAGCTGGCATTCTCAAAAAGCAACCAGACAGAACCTCTCTGTGCAGCAGAGCAGGGCCACTCTAAATGACACGGATGCAGAGCCCACATTGCTCCTGCAGTGCAAAAACAAATCACCCAAGTGCAAAGTCTACATCATTACATATAAATTCTGAAGGTTACAAGCTAAGCCCCAGTCCCACCAGCACAACTTCCAGCCGGTGATTTTTGCCCTGAGCACTGCAGTCCTTGCCTGAGGGGGTGTTGCAGCATGACATGAGACTGCACAAGTCATGAACCAGCTCCAGTTGTTCCCTTTGCGACTTCGCATTTCCAGCAACATTTTGTACACCCTCCCCACCCCTGGTGCTCTAAAGAACGTGCACTGCTATTGCTATGTAACAAATGAGAGTTTCCTCCCCTCCAGCCCAGGCTGTCAGCCACACCGCTGTGAATCCGAGCTGGCTATTGACATCTTGTTCCTAGTTTCACACTACACTAATAAGAAATATTTTAAGAAACCCCACAGTGCAAAATAATATTGCTTTTTCAGAAAACACATAGATCTATTTAATGCTTAGTGCTTTGCTGCATCTATATGGTAATCCATTATAACACACTTGAAATAGAAATTAGGTATTACTACTGATCAACACATCAGGGTATCTGTCAGTTCTTTTAACTGATTATCCATAGTTCTTTTTCGTTTGGACTTCCTGCATGACTAGGAATAATGTGAAGTTTAAATCTTAGTTTACACAGGATGCTGCTTTTTGAAAGCTCTCTCTTTTATTGTAGCAAAATAAAAACCACCAAGGTTCATATTTCGACAGACTCACTGTGACTTAACCAAAACTGCTATTTCTTTTTCAAAGCCTTTTGCTTTTTCCCCCCGGTTGAATCCTGCCATGACTGGCAGCTCTGTGCCCATCATCGTGTGCTGGCCACCCTGCTGCAGGACCCAGGGCAGGCTGAGGCTGGGCCAAGCCTCCCCTGGCATCCCAGTGGACGTTTCCCAGCCCCACAGCCACATGGGGACAACGAGCACTGCTGTTCTGCTGCTCTGGACGTGCCAGGCTGGTCTTGGATCAATGGCAGCCACCCCCAAGGTGCCCTCACTGGGCAAACACACTCCTGGAGGCAGAACCAGCAGCACTGCCCATGGCAAGCCTGCAGTCACGTGAATGGATTCAGGATTTCCAGGAGTCACTGGCAGGTGGATCTACTTCGAGCCAAGTCAAGGCATAAGAGCTCTCCCAGGCCTCTGGGCTCAAGTGCTGCTGGAGGTTTCAGGGTGTTCAACTACCAAAAGTTGCATCAATTTAGAAATTTTCCATCTCCTATTCACAGACTCAGACAAGCCAAGAGGCCAGTGGAGTCAGCATGCCTGCAGCAGCTCAGTCTCAGTGAAGGGATACTCCATTTGTTGCATTAATTAATTATTTACAGTTATTTGTTGAGGGAAAATGTCTGCCCAAAGCACACAGGGCACTTATCACTGCCCCAGGCATAACAAGAAACAGTAAGATCTCTGAAGTAAAATATCAAAAACATAAAAAACATATAGCTAGAATTTACCACAGAATGCTGTAAGAATAGCAGCAATGTTATTGGAATTACAGCAGAACAAACCGTAAATGGTTCCAAAAGTAATTTTCTATGTGTAGAAAAGTAGAGCTATAAGCACTTTTACTGCTATGAACAAAAAACCCCTTTGTTACTCTACTGAGCTTGAGACTCAGCATTCACATCTGCACCAGGCTCAAGAAATCACAAACTCCACACAAAACACAAGCTTGGGGAAGCTTTTCTATATCTGAAAAAATCTGAGTGTAAAACATTTCATCCAGTGAACTTGTCAGACCAGTGGAATGAATTTTATGACACCACCAGCACAACAGATGTGGCTGTTCTTAACTAATGAAGAAAAATTATAGAGAATGGGAAGAAATTTATGTATCTCAAAACCATCAATCTGCTTTTACTTCATTAGAGATTAAAAAACCACAGTGTCAGAGGAATCAGTACCTGACGCTGCAAGAAATAAAAACCACTTTATTATTAAAAAACAAAAAAACCAAAACAAACTTTCACAAATAGATACATATAACCAACAATACTGTTGCTGGTGCCAGAAAATGGACATAAATACAGGTCACCTCCTGGCAGGTCTGTGGCACACAGGGCTCAGAGCTGCCCTCAAATCTGAGGTTTTGAGCTGCTCCCTCAGAAGGGAAGATGGACACAAGAAACAACAGCAACCTGCTCTGCAAATGCACTGCAAACAGACAGAGCCACGCCTAAACAGAGAAAAAATTGTGTGTCACATAATTCTGGGCTTTTAGCTGAAACAGGGAAAAATAACAGTACTGCTGCCATATCACTTCACAAGTATCTATCTGGGAAAAGACAAGGCCAAAGCACCTTATAGAGTAGAGTTAGAGCCAAGCATTTTGCAGTATTAATTGCAATAGTTAACCCTTGGCATTCCTCCCTGCTGGCTAACATTTCTTCTTTGAGTAACATGTTGTTTGAAGTTGTTGCTGTGTGGCCAAGCTGTGCAGCTTATGTGTAAAATTAGAACTTCCATAAATTACTACCAAGCCAAGTCAGTTTCCAGAGGATTTGTGGGAAAAGCTTTGCTGCCCAATACACACACTAGGTGTCACTCCACAACAGCAGCACAATCCCACTAAACCTCCAGGAAAGGCAAAGGCGGCAATTCTCTCATAAATATTTTTATTGATTTTTAAGCTGTTGACCCTCAGCATGGGGACTCAGGATTTGTTAATCCTAAGTAACTACCTATTTAGCTAATTAGCAGAAAATGCAGCATCCTCCTGGCTCCCACTGACATCACACTAAATATGGAAAGCTTAATAATCAATTAGTTCTGTTTCCTATGGCTTAGAGGATGAATGTTTCATCACTTGGCATTTCTGACTCCCTGTCCTGTGCTGAGGCTCTCGGGCTGTTCTCACCCAGGGTTAGCTATCCATGGACTGCACATTCAATCCAGCAGATCCCCACCACGAAGGGCATCACTCTGAATCCCACACAAACACTGGAAGGATCTCCTCTCCCCCAGGCTGACCAGGCTGTTGCACAGCTCTCCTCCACTGGGACCCCAAGCAGCCCCTACTTCAGACACAACCATTGATTTTTTCTCCTTCAGACAGCACATTCTCCCACTACTTTTAAGGAGTATTAAGGGGTGGCTATTGGCCACCCCTTTCCAAGCCCTGGGAATGCCCAGTTATTCCCTCCACCCAGATGAGCAAGCATTGGCTATTTCCTATTCAATGGCACAGACACAGAAATGTCATTCCTTATCCAAGGCCCCAGCGTATTAACGAGCTTCCATTAACCTGCACAACCACACCTTCTCTGCTGGGCACTGAGGAGGAGGAGGAGTTTCTCCTGCCCCAAAGAGTCCTGGCAAATTTGTGAGCTCGTGTTCTGTGCCACTGCCTGGGGCACAACCCCAGAGCAGACCCGTGCTAATGTCACAAGGAGCAGAAAGCACAACTCTGATCTCAGGGTGAAAATGTGGTCTCACAGAGGGAGAAGAGGAAAAGGGAGACAGCAAAGTGAGAATTCAAGATCACAAAACCCCAGAATTCCTTGTCATCATCCTTATGGCCATTTTTCCCACAACAGGCATATTAGGCTAAACAGCATCATTCTTCTTGCTGCTATAAATACCATTTCAACCACAAACTACTCATTAATGCAAAACCACATACTTCTGAGGGTCTGGGGGTGATTCAGAGGGAATGAGAGGAGTTGAGAACAATTAACCTTTAGCTTCAATTTCTAGAGTCCCACTGAAAGCTTGAAGGGCTTTTTCCTACCAAACAAACCCCAAAATATAAACAAAAATGACATTTCTATGATGCAATACTCGGGTAAAAAGTTAGTACTTGGAGTAACAGAGAAAGAAATAAAGAAAAAAGAAATCAGTAGATGATGTGTGTTTAACCTTAAAAGAGAAATCTGGCCAATTATTTACCTAATTAACTGCCAGATCTTTTTGACCAGAGACTGGCAGAACTTCTCTTAAGCTGAGAATTTCAGTGTGCATTGTAAGAACATTTTTATGTGTCAGGCTTTCATCGGGTCCAGTGATATTTTCTCACATCCAAATACATTTAGGTAATAACTCCAGTCAAAGAGGTACCTTGGAAAATGATCTATCCCATACTATTCTTGCTTAAATTAAAGCAATCCTACTTTGATAACGCAAAAGTTAACCAGGTAACATTTCTCCCCCAGACACTGCCAATGTTCTGATGGCCAGTGCTGGGCAGGAGGGAAGGATGTGCTTCTGGAAGAGGAAGATGTTATATTGAACAAGAAAAACCAAATTAGCAAATCAGCATTTCACACACTCAGATCAAACTGATGTGCAGTAGCTGACAACTCCTGCCCTTTTATTCCCCTTCAGCTGCAAGACCCAACACTGGAATCACAACAGAAGCCTCCATGTGAGGGGAGCAGAGCCCAGCCTCCTGCTGTGACACATGCAAAATAAACACAGAGGAGGGGGAAGGTGCTGCTCTTCTGAACTGGCCCTCCATGAAACACAGGAGCAAACTCTTGTTGAATTAAAACAGAAAAGCAACAACAGAAAGCAGACTTTCTGAAAGCCTTAGCCTTCACAGCAATGCAACTACTGATTGCAGTGGTGCTCCCAAATTCCCCCAAAACCTCTGGCTTCCATCCAGAGCATCAGCTCTAGGACAGAGGTGTTCTTGCTGGATTTCCAGGGCATTCTGATAACATCTCTTAACTCAGGTGACTGACACCTGTTTCACCCCTCACGGCAAAGCACTAAGCAAGCACAGAATGACAGTGAGATTTAAAACACAAATTAGTTTTCATGGTATGGAAAACTTACTTCAAAAAGAAAGAGGATGGAGTCCAGCTCCTCCCTTTGTGATTTATTCCCTGCAAGACACAAAACAACATTGCTTGCCAGAAACACACAATGAAAGTCAGCAGAATGAGGCTGTTGCTGTTCAGCTGAAGTCAAAGATGCCAATCAATTTATTTCTCATCTTAAATAAAGATCCCAAGTGTGAGCTGTGCCCAGGCTGCAGTGCCTCTCTCTGCTAAGGCTGTGTCTCAGCTGAGCAGAGGGAGCTGCAGGAGCCTGGAGCAAGGTGAGAGGATGGGTATGTAAATGCTGAAATGAACCCAGAAATGTGATCAGCTGCTGCTGCTCTCATTTCAGAGAGTGATTTTCCATGCTCATCTCTCCTGCTACCATAAAATTAAAGTGATTAATACTCACACTCTACTGCAGGAAACTATTAGTATAAATACAGAAAACTGAGGACTAGACAACCATTGGACAGGTTTTAATGGAATGCCCTGGAGCACAGTTATGGAACACTGACCAACAGCTGCTGGAAAAAATCTAAAACTTACCTTTTTGTTTCAAGCTGTTTTCCAGTGTTATGAAGTTTTCATAGAATATAAAATAAATTTGAGAGTAATTGTTGTCAAAAAACTGCTTGAGGTCACTTCCATCCACGATATCTGAAAAGAGGAACAGAGTAATTACACAAAAGCAGAAAGACAAGAATTACAGGCATTCTGCAAATTTAGCTTTAGAGAATGAAATAAATGCAATACAAAGCTATTTTAGTGAGTTCACTGAGTATTCTGTACTAAACTGTCAGTCCATCCTTGCAAAGAATTTCACTGAATTTATGAGAGTCTGCAGTGGGGCTTTGGTTCATTTGCTTTCCACTAAAAGATAGAAAAAAAAAAAAGGGTTGAGTCTTAGCTGTGTAACTAAATGGCCTCTGTACCATCAAAACAAGCAGGTACTGCTGGAGAAAAACACCAGCAAAAAATTTTGGATGCAATTTCAGCTCTTGCATTCATCTGGCAAGCAGATCAAACCAGAAAACAGCATATTCTCAATTCATTTCTTAGAATAATGGCAACTCGAGCATGTAGCACTTTCCTGAGTGTTAACATGGGTCTGAAATTTGAAATAAGTTTATTTTCTACAAAGAAAAAAGTTCACTGTTTTCTAAGCCTGACACTTGCTAAACACATTAATTTCCTCCCTTTGGTCTTTACTTCAACTGATTTGGTCAAGGAAAGTTAGGTCATTTCCCCCAGAAAAGGGGGAAGGGCCAAAATTAATATCACATCTCATTGAAGCCTCACCTTGCAAGAAACCCATTTGTTACCCAAAATAAAGCTGATTCTAGCAAGAAGGCTCAATAAGATTCCACAACTACAGAAGAAATAGTAACTTTAGCCCTGGACAATCTGATTTTTATTTAAATTAGCACCTTTCCAGCAGTAAGGCTCTGCTTGGCTGCTTGTACTATGGAAACAATTAGAGCAGGGAAACTCTTTAACGTGATATTTGTTTCCTGCAAACTACTGGTCTGAATTTGCAAGCTAAGTGCAATTATTCCTCTCCATGAATGCATCCTGTTAAACACAACTCCAGGGGAAAACAAGGCTTTCATTTACAAGGATTTCATATGAGGGAATGAGGTCATTAAAATCTAAACAAAAAGGAAACTTTCCCTCTAAATTGCGAAAGGAGAGAAAGGAACTGCCTCACCAAGAAAGCAAATCCTCCTTTTTTTCTAAATGTGGCATCTTGGTGGTGACTCACGGGTGAGTTTGAGCTGCATCCCTACAGCCACAGCCCTTTCTCACAGATGTGTTTAACTTGCAGCAGGGCTCGTTCCTGCTTCTGACATGGAAAACATCAGGGAAAGTTTCCTGCGCCATTTATCACTTGAGATAACGAGATAAAACCCTGACTTTGGGGAAAAGCACTGCCTGAAGGAGTATTCAGAAGCACCAGAGGAAATGAGGCAGCAAGCTTGGGGCTGAACTGCAGGAATTTGGGTCTGTTTTTGTATTTACTCCCAGACAGCTCCCAGGTTACTACAGCTGCACACAGGCACCCAGACCTCAGGCAAGCACCACCAGCCATCCCAAACCCAAATAATTTCCCCGTTTCCCACACAGGAGAAGCTCACAAGTCTAGCTAACACCTGACAGTAGCTGCTGCAGCAACACTCAGGAAACACTGAGACACTCAGCAGGGTCACACCCTATTTCTTCTCTATAAATAGGACATGTTGGCTCACTGGATAACTGTCAGTCACACTGACTCGCCTTACTATTAAATTTAAAATTTAGGGTAACACTTGGGCACCACTTAGTAAGAGGCTCAGTCTATTGCCAAACTCTCACTGCTCTTCCTCATACTAAAAAAAATCCAGAGGGGACACTAAGCCTGTCCTTAGCACATGGACTTTATTTTCCTGTTAACTGCCAAATGTTACCACAGGCACCTGTTAGAAATGATCCCTTAATTCCATGAACTTCCACAGTCACTTTATGCTATTTTCTCAAAGCTCTCTTAATCCTCAAGTACTTGAAAAATTAAAGGAGATGAAGAGAATTTTGCAGCCACACCCTGGTTAATGATAAACTTTTATGACCAGCCTCACCCCAGAAATAATGCACAATTCTTACTTATCTTCAAAAAAAGTATGTCAGCATGAAACAGCCCGTTACCAAAATGCCCCTCCAACTGGAACAACTTCCAAAATTATGTTAACACCTCAAATGTCACACAAGCTCCTCAGAACAATCCCTGAATTCAGCAGGAAGTCTGCACACATCCCCTTTTGACTGTCTGTAAATGAAAGTTTCTACCCAGCCAGCGCTGGTCCTGCAGCTGTACAGAACCAAAATCCCACTACCCTCCTTTGTTATCCCATCTCTGATCAAGGCAGTTCCATGGAAAGCATTGGCTTTCCTAACAGGTATGTTTTAAAGGGAACAATTAAGGACTGCACTTGGTAACCTTTAAAATTTCACATTGAGTCTTAACTCTGTGTGCCTCCCATGTATTTGCTCAACAGAGAAAAGACTGAAAGCACTGGACAAAGCAGCATCCCACATCTGTTAGCAGCAGCACTTCTGACTCCTGTGCCCAAGGAGAAAACACTATTGAAAGAGAAGTTTCAATATAAAAAGGATATTTTTACCCAAGTAGAGCCACAGAAAAAAATTCTTAAGGCACAGTGATTTGTTTTTGTCCTACCAAAGTCCCACAGAAACCACTCTGGGAAAAAGCAGAGACTTCATTTGTGGCCAGGCAGTGGGGAAGAGCCAAATCTGTACATCCCCACCACTCTTTGTCAGGCTATTGCTTTTTAAGTCTATCTTTAAAAAAAAAAGGCCACACTACTGGCACTTCCACAAACTGTATTTAGAACTTCACTAACTTAACAGAAGTTCTGGCCATGAGTACATCTCCATAGCAATACAGAAATAAGGGAAATGTTCTGATCACTTCTCAAACACAACTGAACACCCAATTTTAACTCCTTTTGTTGATCTGGGTATGTGGACAGAGCACCCCACAGAGCTGGAACTCGCATCCTAAAGGCCATTGGAGGCTTGAGAGATGTCATAACCAACACCAACTTAAGTGGACTCATTTCTTTCACTTTGGGCACTGGACAAACTTACATAGGTGCCACTAAGGGACCTGAAGCAATCCAAAGCTCACGTGAGCCCTTATTTATGGAAACGCACATTCCTTTTGCTCATCCCTCCCCTATGATCATCTTCCCTCTGATCTGTGTCCTCCTGCACCAGCGGGATCACAGAAGAGTAACTGACATTTTGTTTACAATTAAATTCCCGTGATTTAAACTAACAAAGGAAGAGGAGCTGGCATCTCCCAAGGAAACGGGAGAGCCGGAACAGCTATTTGGGGAACGTGTGGCACTGTGGCCCGAGGGAAGCAGTTGGAGAGTCAGACTCATTCCTAGCTGTGGCCAGGGCAAAGACAGACACATCTGAGGAGAAGGAAAAAAAAAAAAAAAAAAAAGAAAGCCAACTACTTTTGAGCCTTTATACCAACAGCTTTACATGCTGGACTTATTTTTTTCCAACTCCCACGTGTGGAGTTTTTTTACATGCTGAACAGTACCACAAAAGACACCCTGGTGAGGGTATCTATCAAGAGAGCATCTTCCAGAAGCCATTCCCGTGCTGCCCCCAATGTTGACACCGGTGTTGCCAAGAGCAGACACGTCAGGAGCACACCCAGAGCCGCTCGGACAGTGCCTGCAGTGACCCGCAGGAGAGCTGGACGCACCACAGCCCCTGCCAACCTTCACCCTGCAAAAGCCTTCACCCGGAACCAGCGCCCACAAACACCTTTAACTGGGAAGTCACCAAAAGCAACAGAGGCCACATGTAGCCGGTGCTGTGTCCCCAGGCGGCTCCTTCAGGAGCTCACAGGGAACAAGCGCGGCACAGCGGCGATGATGGCCCGCACCTGGAACAAGCCGGCATCGCCTGGAAGCACTCCCCGGGCACAGCCCCTTCCCTTCAGGAGACCCTGCCGCGTTCGAACAGCCAACAGAGGCCACCCGAACCCTCCGATCACAGCGGGAACTCATCGGCGGCGTTCCACCTCAGCAGGATCACAGCGGGAGCTCATTCCCGCGGTGCCCAGCGTGGAAGCCGCCACCTGCAAGGCGCCCCGGGACACGTCCAGCCTTGCCCCAAACCACCCAAAGCACCCCAGCGCGGCTTCTTTCGGAGTTTAAACCCCCAGCACAGAGCCCCGAGTCGATGCTATTGCCAAGGAGCAGAGTTTCTGCCAGCCAGTCTCCGAAACTGACCAGGGCTGCGCGTTTCCCCGCGGCTCCGCGCCCAGCCCAAGGCGCGCCCCGGCACACGCGAGCTCCGCCGGGCACCGCACACTTTCTCCCCACGGAGGGGCTGCCCCTGCGGCTGGGGAGGCTCTCTGCCCACAGCACGGACAGCTGCCACGCCGGGCTCGCTGCTGTCTCCCCGGGCACCGCAGCGGAGGGCGAGCAGCGCTCGCAGACCTGCCCGCGGCCGCGGCTCTGCCCGGGCACCCCCGAGGGGCTGAGGGCCCCGGGTCCCCCCGCTCACCCAGCAGAGCGCGGAGGTGCTTCAGGCGGGTCAGCACGTCCCGCTTGGGGTCCAGCGCCTTCTGCGTGGATTTCCTGACGTCGGCGTGGCTCTTCCTGGAGAACATGCCGGCGGCACGGCGGGCAGGGATGGAGGCGCAGCGCCGGGCGCGCTCCCCACGCCGCCGCTCCCGCCCCCCGCTCTGCGCGGGGCGCGCCGGGAGCTGCCGCCCGCCCCGCTCCTGACGTCACCGCGGCGTGGCGCTGACGTCACCGGGGCGGCCGCCGGGAGCCCTCAGGATCCCCCGGGATCCCTCGGGGACTCCCCGGGACCCCCCGGTGGCAGCTCCCGGGCACGGCGGGACCCCGCGCCGCTCCAGGGAGCCCCGCGATGCCCAGCGGAGCATCCCGGGATGCCCCGGCAGCGCGGCTGGGATGGAGGCGCCGTAGGGAGCTGGCTCCTAGGTAGGCTCTTGTCATGGAATCGCAGGTGTGAGTGGGAAGGAGCTTAAAGCCCTTCCAGTGCCGTGGCAAGGACACCTTCCACTGTCCCAGGGTGCTCCAAGCCCTGTCCAGCCTGGCCTTGGACATTCCCAGGGATCCAGGGATCCACCCCATCCTCACGGGGAAAAAATTCTCCCAGTGCAGATCTCCATTGGAAAACATTCAGGTTTTGAATAACCACTTGCACTGTAAGTATATCAATATATAAAGGCATGTTGTCTTTACACACAGGTGAAAGAGCAGGCTCGTAGTTACACAGCAAAAGCACAATCCATCCCAGAGGCAGAAGCCAGCAGATGCTCTCAGTAAAATTCCTGGGCTGAAATGTAAATTCTAGTAAGTTTCAAAGCAGGCTGTGGTCCTAAAAAAAGAAAACAAGGAATTTCAGGGAAGTGTCTTGCGTATATGCTCCTTAGTTTTTAACAAAACGGCTTAAAAATCAATTTACATGTCACATAGAAATTGTTTTTTCAGCCATGAATTGGTGTAGAAAATAAAATGTCACAGGAATTACTGTTGCTGGAAGCAGAAAACAGAGCACTGCCACATCTCGCTTCCTCTGAGCCCTCTCAGCAATCCTTTCTGCTGCAGAGACCCAGGGTCACCAGAGCAGCAAGCCTGAACACATCCCACTGGGAACAGGGCAGTCCCAGCTCCTCCAGCCCTGGGATGGCCCTGTGCATGCAGGAGCAGGGAAAGGCTCTGCGTGGAAGTTGCAGTGGACAAATAAATACATAAGTAAATACATAAATAAAGAAGCAGGCTGGAGGAGGAGGCTGCAGGCAGTGCTCCTGCATGCCCTGCTTTTGAGCATGGCACAGCTCTCCCCCTCTGCAGCACAGCTGGGCTCTTGAGGGGGCAGAGCAGGGGCTGGCTGTGCCCCCAAACCCTGTGGTGAGAAGTGAGAAATCACTTGTTGGAGTCAGGAAGATGGGTAGTGATGATGCACGGCGTTGAAAATGAAAAAACTGATTAATCCCTTTTCTTACACAGAAAGGCTGAATGCTTGGAGTCAGCCACAGAGAATTCCCTGCTGTCGCATTGTCCCTTGCCTTGGAGCCCAGCTCAGTAATTCCTGTTGCACACCCTTCCCATCTCAGGTAATTCCTGTAGCACACCCTTCCCATCTCAGGTAATTCCTGTTGCACACCCTTCCCATCTCAGGTAATTCCTGTAGCACACCCTTCCCATCACAGGTAATTCCTGTAGCACACCCTTCCCATCACACCATGACACACTGTCTCCTTCTGGAGCAGTTATCATTCTCCAGCAATTGTCTCAAATTTTGGGTCATGTGGTGTGATTTCAGCATCAGCAGCTTCCTGAGGAGAGTGAATGGGGCTGTTCTGGCTCTCCCCTTCCACTGGCACAAATCAATTTCTGCACTTGGCTGAGGAAGCATGTGGCTAAAGTCTTGGCTTGTTCTTTTTTTTTTTCCTTTTATTTTAATTGATTTACAAAACTAACAGCTTCCAGTTTGTCTCTTCTAGCGGTTTCTGATTGTTCCACTTTTTTTTCATGCTTTGTTGAAAAAGGAGCCATTGCAGATTCAGGAGCTACGGTGCTACAGCTGCTCTGATGTCTGATACCTGGTGTGATAAGCAGGGCATCTTTATGGTCCTTAGCACCAAACTGCATAGCTTTAGGCACTCAGTGGTTTGAGGTGTGCTGGAAGTGCTGCCTGTGAAAAGCTCCAGGGAACAGAGATGCCACGCCTGGAATCGCAGTGCTGTAGGACAGTCCTTGCTCTCCCTTTGAGTTCAAACATCATCAAATACAATTTTTCAAATTATTCACTTAGGAGCTGGCGTGGGACAGCACAAGCCAGAGAATGCCAGTAAACCTGCAGCAGTGACTTCAGCCTGTGCAGGAGAACCACTTGTGCAGTCCTGTGACTTGTGTTTTCTAACAATAAAACATTTGCAATTTCCCAGAAAGTCAGATGATGCATTTCCGAAAGCCAGTGCTTGAGGTAGAATAATTTCCTGAAAGAGATTTGGTCATTCAGCTTTCAGGATCTGAGGTAAAATCTATATAAAGCAGTCACTTCAGGCAACAGAGCAGTAATCACTTGTGGCAGAACTGAACTGTTAAAAGCCCCAGTCTTGATGTGTTTGCAAGTCCCAGGATGAGGGAAGAGATTAATTTGACTCTGTATTTTTTAGAATGTTGATTTATTATATTATATTAAAAATATTATATTAAAGCTATACTAAACTACAGAGAGAAAAGAATACATCAGAAGGCTAGGAAAGGAAATGAATAATAAAAACTCGTGATTGTTCAGAGCTTTGACACAGCTGGACTATGATTGGTTATCAAGTAAAAACAATTCACATGAGACCAATCAAAGATGTACTTGTTGGTAAACTATCTTTAGACTACATTCTACAACAATCAGATAATTCTTGTTTACATTTCTCTTCTGAGGCTTCTCAGCTTTTTAGGAGAAAATCCTAGTGGAAGGATTTTCATAAAATATCACAGTGACACCCCAGCACCGTGTGGAGGTGACAATCCCAGCACAGGCATGGGAGCGCTGGGCCAGTATTCCTTGGGAAAATCCCTCCTCGTGCAGGACCCTGCCTGCCTGGCTGGGCCCACGGGAGGAAGACCAGCATCCATCAGAGTTCTGGGGTGTCACAGCTCAGCCAAGACTCACTGACCAAAGGGAAGAGCTGACCTTGCAAAGGCTGTCCCTGCAGTGCCCGCCCCGCCAGGCTGCTGGCACTGCCCTGCCAGTGCTGGCACTGCCCTCCAGGCTGCTCCTACAGGAGTTTCTATTTCAGGCCTTGCCCCAAGCAGTACAGGTGAGGGGCAGCACATTCCCAGTCCAAAATAGAACGGCCTGAATTATTAATATGTGTTTGCACTGCGGGCCAGCACGCTGTCCCTGAACTGCACGGCTCGTGCCCTTCCTTCCTTCCTTCCTCCCCCCCCATCCTGGAAGCAGCCTGGTGCTGCAGTTTGTGGAGTTTGTGGAAATGTGACACCAGCTGCCACCTGAATTTCGCTGGACCTGATGAACAGGCAGGGTTTCTTTTCCCGTGGAGCCTGAAATTTTAATGGCAGAGATTAAATTACGGAACTTCTCCGCTTGCTTCTGTCAATATAACACTTTATACTGAGCCCAGGAAAAAAGGTAGGGAAAGAGTAAACACGGGAGGCTTGCCTCCTGAACAACCTACAGGTGAGGTAATGGTTTCCTTAGCATGGAATGCCAGTGCTGACTTTCTGTCCTTCAAACCAAATGCTTCAAGTTGCATTTCAAAAGTTGGTTTCGTGTCCTCTTGCATACCCTTGGTCCAGCACATCCATTAAGGTGCCTGAGCTCCTTATTAGAATCAGCTCCCTGGATGCTCCTGGCTCATGTGCAGGAGCTTGGCAGAGCTTTGGTGCTGTGCCAGCGTGCTGCATAAGGAAATGAGGCTCTGCCCTCTCTGCCCTGCTATGACTAAGCATGTGGAAAAGACTTTTCCAGCAGGCTCTGGGTTTGAGGGGTTATTTTCCTGACAGTGTTCCTGTAGGGCATGCAGGCGTGGACCCCTGTTCCTGCAAAGCTCTGCTCCAGGCTCAAACCACACAGTAAGTGCTGAATTTCTGCTAAATGCCTGATTTCCTCTAAGTCTGGATCCTGCAGCCTGCTTTTCGTGGGTCAACTTATGCAAAGGTTTGGAGTTTATGGAGGCAAAGGTGCCTCATCCATTTAACCCTCAGTGAGGGTCTTCTCCAGCCCTTCTCATTTGGCACCCAGAGGAATTCTCACTGTCCCTTGGCCTGTGGAGTTTTATTTAGGAAAAACCTAGTGGAAAATTTCCACCCATTGCAGCTTATAAGGCAGCCAGATGTCATTCTTATAGTAAAAATGATAGACAGGAGAAATCCACTGTCAAAAAACCCTGTCAGATTTCCATCTGCCAGAATCTCCAACTGTGCAGAGGGGGAAAGGGAAGGATTTATGTCTACTGATGGAAAAAAATTCCAAAATAGAAAGAACAGGGATTGCATGTCCCCTGATACCTTCCTAAAGGAAACGGTATGAAGGATGTGAAAATTTCATGGAGTAAAAATATCAACCCACTAAGGAGAGCTCAGACTGCCTTTGCCAAAGGCTGAACTGTGCCAAGAAGTTTGTGGCACGTTGTGCAAGCCCGTAACCTACTGCTCCAACCGAGATCTTTCCATGAGGAAATGTTTCAGCTCAACTTGAGGGCTGGCCTGAGAGATGGCTTACACGGTAAAAAACAGGAAAATCATCCCTGTGCTTCCCTGCTCCTTGGGAGTGGAGATAAAGTGCTGCTTGTCTCAACCGCATTAAATCCCAGATAAGTGTTGTTTACTTCACCCCTCTCCAAGAGGAAAGGTCACTCGTGATCTCGGTGGAGCTGCAGCAGCAATTTCCTCCTGGCAGCGTTCACCTCTGGCCGGGTGAGGCAGAGCCCCGCTCCCCTCCTTTGGGGACGCTGTTAACCCTGTCCCTGCCGGCCGTGTGTCCCCGGGGCTGGCTCTGAGCGCATGGGCACAGTGTGTGGGGTCTGAAAGAGCGCCGAGGTGCTGATGGGCAGGCTCGCAGAAACACTTCTGGTCCCAGCAAATGATGCTCAGAGGGTGAAAAAAGGGTCACTTGTTCCTGCAAGTTACAGAGGAAGGGTCCTGCCACCTGCAGAAAGAGTCTTTGTTTTCCTCTTTTCCCTCCTCGGCTTTCTTGGATTTATATTGCT